ATAATAGCCCGACCCAAGAGAGCAATTTTCACTGCAGTGGCAAGTGCATCCTGAGCCCTGGAAAGCGAACGCCGAAGTCTGCATGTGCGCCAAAATTGAGCTGATGTGAAAGTCTTAGGTTGTGTGTCCGAAACGCTTTTAAAGATGATTAATCTTCTGTGAAGCAACTACGTTTCATTATCGCTAGAAGCGTAAATCCAGTTCAAATATTTTCAACAATAAAACTCACTGCAACCGTATATGAATCAGTGCTGCAGGAAACGTTCTCACGACCTACTCAGAGTTCTCGCTGGCTTTTCACACGCGCCCAACCTGCTTCCACGGTGGCAGTGTCGCAACTGACGACTCACGCCAACTTGCCAAGTCGCCAATTCGCCGAAGAACAAACAAATTAAACCAAGACACGATCCACATGCTCTCCTAACTAAATTACTCCTACTTTTCTCCTTTACTCATGTTCTCAAATTGAAAATTAAAGCACAAATATTATCTGTATTGATACACATATGGAGGTGAGCCAATGGAGTGAAAACGTAAGGAAAATTCTAACGAAAAATATACCACTTACTCTACATATATTAGGATCATTTTAGGTAACGTCAAAATTGTTCTTTTGCAGCCTACCAGCCATTTAGCGTCAGCGGGAGATTTTTTCGGTTCGCTTATGCGCCATAACTTAGGTGCATCGACTTAGCGTTCACTCTTCGCAGCACATAACTGGGTCATTGATTTTTTGGTAATGGAGTTCCTGCCTGCAGTACGGAAAACAGAAAAAGGGGAGATGATGGGAAAGCCCAAGGGTAGTTGAAAAAACTGTCCTAATGGATCAAAACAAACTGGGAACTGACGCATGAGATCGCGCATGAATAATAGATACCTTGCAAAATACTCAACGGGTAACAGATCTCGAGGCGCTGGATTTATCTACAGCTCAGTCAATAGTCAGCCAACAGTTGAGAACTACGTCTCAGTCAATAACCCAACCTCAGAATTGATAATGCATTTCTCAGTCAGTAATCGAGGATCAACATCTCACTTTATATCCTGAGAGTTGAATGGTCAGTGGCATAACAGTCAATGCATAGCCAATATGTAGCAACGTTTTACTGACAAAATTGAGCAAAAAATATAACCATAGTGGTTGCGTCCCCAAAGCAAACGGCCAAGGAATTACTGAACGTAAGGTATGTCCCGTTACTCCCATTTCCCTATTCGGGGGAACCAAAATTGAGGTATGCACTGGCGCGCGAGGATGATGGTTGTCGGTAGGGGGCCTAGCTATGAGCGTTATCGGCGAATTCGGTCGTACCTGCACGCTTGTCGATAAAAGAAAATAGTGAGACTTTGTCCAAATAGCGATGCACTTTTTCTTCTGGTATGGGTCATTCTGACACAGTTGGGAATGTATCTTGTAACTCGAAGTCACTTAGCCCCAAATAATTAAATTCAGAGCGACCAACAGTCAAGTCGGATAGTTTTCAGTATGCAAAGTAGCTTTATTTTCTTGTATTACGATTGTATTATCAAGTGGCAGGTAATCCGCGGAAATACAACTATTTTTTTTCCTGTGGAAGGAGTGGAACCGATGAGTGGTTAGGACCGAAACGAAACGCTCAGTTCATTTCAACACGTCGCGCTGTGAACTCAATTCATTATAACGGATAAAAGCAGTTTTGAAAAATAAATGTATGACATCCAAATCAGTTGCAAGTCATTTAATAATTTATACATTTATTTGATCAGTGAAACGGCAATTCTACTTAAGCCAAACATAAAACAATCAGGTTAGGTCTGGTAGAACAATGTCAATGTGCTTATTTAAGCAATAAGTTCATAACTACCGTTTTGTTTTCCAGTTATTTATCGAGAGAAAATACATGCTCAGAAAATGAATGGGTTATATAGTCCCGATAATGACACACTTTCTTACCCATTGTATGAACAGGAAACCCATGGTTGTACTAGTACATATATACGTATGTTCAACAATGAGAAAACCAACGTATCAGTAATACGCCTTTTCACTGAGCAAAACTGGGTCAGAATGACCCACACCGTGGCAAAAAGTGCATCGCTGTTAGGGCAAAGCCCTCCTCAGCGCCTGCATGAAGAGTCCAACGGCCAACCGTGAACGATGGCTGCGCACAGAAGCAATAAAAATTGGCTCGTGAAAGTCGTTCAAGACTCCAAATGCCATGGTTAACTATGTAAGGTTGACCCATGAGAAGTTCCGTATTTCAGTTCAGCTTTCTTGTTACCTCACTGAGATCGAGGAACGTAAACAAACCCGTCATTCTCTTGACAGATTGCTTGACTGGTTTGATCGCATTTCGGAGATTGGTTAATGCCCGTGACGTCACTGAGATCAGTGACGTCACAGGTGAACAACGAACAACATCCGCAAAAATGGGCTTCTGATGGGTCAACCTTATACTAGTTCAACCATGCCAAATGCCGTCCTGACGCGATTAAAGCAACCGCTCTTATACATCTTGTAAATTTCTTTAAGAGATGCTAGGGGTGATGCTCTGTCAAGGTTTTGAGATCAACAAGGAAAAGATTTCTATATTTATTTCATAACCTGTTAGACAATTTTTCGATTTTTAACCAATTTTCTGGTTCTAATGTAAACTTTCGTCGCATAGCCAGCATTTAAAATCTAAAAAAATTAAAAAAAATCGCTCTACTTTGGATTTCACGCGTCTAAGAAACTGAGCGGCAGATTGTTGTGTCAACTTCGATTGAATTTTTATTCAGTGCTGGATAGTTTTTCTATATTTTTCATTACTTAGTAAAATACAATTCGGCCCTTTCTTACAGTCCCGAGTGCGCCGCGTTTCCTATCATTTAAATGTGAAACTGGCGAGGGGCGACACATATCCATGAACATATCCACGTTGGTCACCATTATTGAAAAAACTCAATTTACCTTATAAAAATGGCAGATTATCTATGTCATCAGTCAAAATAGACTGCATAGAATGCACTAATCTTTAATATAATTTATGAATTAAAATTTCGGGAATAAGATTGGGGCAGAGAGAATAATGATCTTGACTGTTGTTCTGTGCAGACTCATTGAACCTTCATAACAAGAACACTGCCTGTTCTCAACCAGTTGTTGGTAGGTACTGATGGCGCGTGAGCTCGCTCTTCCAGGCTGGTGGAGCTCGAGCTACTCGCACTCAAATGCAGTATATATTTCTCGAGACCCTATAATTTTTTCGTATTTAAATAATTTTCAAATTATTGTCACTAATTAGTCATGTTCTGAATTTCAGGCAGATCTGTTTAGAATTAAGGCGCAGCTCGGATGCGCAAAAGTTTTGTTTTGCGTTTGAGCTCACTAGTGAGCACGGAAAAGTGTCGATCCAGTATGAGACGTAGACCCATGCATGGGTTGAACTAATATAAGGTTGAAGCACGACGATGACGATTTTACGCCGTTCTGCGCATGGTTGAACTACTATAAGGTTGACCCATCAGAAGCCAATTTTTGCGGATGTAGTTTGTTGCTCGCCTGTGACGTCACTGATCTCAGTGACGTCACGGGCATTAACCAATCACCGAAATGCGATCAAACCAGTCGACCAATCCATCATGGAATGACGGGTTTGTTTATGTTTCTCGATTTACGTGACGTAATAAGAAAGCTGAACTGAAAAACGGAACTTCTCGTGGGTCAACCTTATATAGTTCAACCATGGTCATAACACTCAATCGACAATTCTACGGACCCGCCTGTGAACTCGCCTGCGGACTCACGCCACTGGGACACTCATAATTCTTCCAATACTTAACGGATCTGTATGAATTTTGGAATGTGAGTATTAATTATCGATACGCTGCCGCAGGAATTATTACGGATTTTTACATGAAATATTTTTTAATTGAAACCAATAAACGTATTTTTAAGCAACTGGGACACTCATAATTCCTTCAATACATAACGGATCTGCTCAAATTTTGGAATGTGAGTATTAATTATCGATACGCTGCCGCATGAATTATTACAGATTTTTACATGACTTATTATTAGGTTAGGTTAGGTTGGGTTAGGTTAGGTTAAGTTAGGTTAGGTTAGGAAATAATTCATGTAAAAATCTGTAGTAATTCCTGCGGCAGCGTATAGATAATTAATACTTACATTCCAAAATTCATACAGATCCGTTAAGTATTGAAGGATTTATGAGTGTCCAAGTTGCTTAAAAAATACGTTTATTGGTTTTAATTAAAAAATAGTTCATGCAAAAATCTGTAATAATTCCTACGGCAGCGTATCGATAATTAATACTCACATTCCAAAATTCATACAGATCCGTTAAGTATCGAAAGAATTATGAGTGTCCCAGTTGCGCGAGTCCGCAGGCGGGTCCGTAGAATTGTCGATTGAGTGGTCACAACGACCAAGGTGACATCACAGGTGGAATAACAAATGACGCAGCTGCGCGTGGGTCAACCTTGTTTTAGTAAATTTAGTTCAACCATGCGTAGACCTAGCTAATCAACAGTCAAGTTCAATCTTATGCTTCTCAGTAATGAGCTGATGACAATGAGTGGATTTAATTTATAGTTAATGTGTATGCTCATGTCTCTCATATTAAGGTGATTAATTATAAAAAATTGAGTTGCAATAATGCATGAGCATTGAGCAGTACGTTATCTAACTCCGTGGGTGGGCCAAGTTTAATCGAGCTGTGTTCATTAGTTTAGAAGATATTTAATGTCAATGTGAACGCGTAAAATCTTGTTTTGTGGCGTGGAAAAAAAAGCGGGGAAATTGTCCGTCACATGTCCTATTAAACTCAGAAGTGAGAGTTTTATCGTCATTCAAACTTCATGCTTCATCTGCCTCATTGAATAAAATGCTTTCACTTGATTCGATTATGTATGGCTTTTATGAAGAATATTAATTTAGATTTGCATTACTCGGCACATTCTTTATTTTCACGTCTCGGAGAAATTTACATATATTTTCCTTCTTTTCCGTTTCCGGATTCCGCACACTGAGCCCGGGAATGAAATAAGCAAGTCACAGACTGACAGACGGAGCGACAGACGGTACTTGCTTTGCTTGTACTTCAGGCATTAACTGTTAACGTGTCGAGTGTGTTCTACAGAAGTCGATAAATCATATCTCTGTTCTGATATTGAATATAATAAATTATGGCAGCAGCTTGTGTCGATTCGCTTCAGCTGCTTCTGCCTCATGATTGGCCAAAACAAGAAGTCATGACTGGGGTAGGTATTTTCCTAATTCAGATTTCATATGGTTTTGTGTAAAGTGTCCAATTTTGAATTTCAGGCAGAAGGTTATAAAATTCAGGCAAACATGATTGTTTAATGTGTGATCTTTAAAAATCCTAGATCTCAATATTCCATTTTACTTATTTTTCACATAAAAAATTGGGAAAGCCATGGCAAAAGACCATGGTCAGGAAGATGTGCCAGGTGCGCGGGAATTTATTTTGTCATTTTAACGACCTGCGCGGTGCGCCATAGTAGGTTGGTAAAATAATGCGCCGTGCGCCGTACTTTAGAAAGCTAAAATAGTTCTACTATTTTAGTCGACAATATACGTGAGTATATTGACTACGCGAGTCAAACTGACAATAATAAAATGTAAGACATGTCTGGGTTACTTCTGACTCTTCCGGTTGCATAGTGGCAAACCAGTGATTTTTTTAGAATCAGTTCATTTTTAATTTTCTTATTTACTCAAGATTTTAACAGGTTTCTTATGTATGATAATTCTGGTATCCAAGATACTTTACTGGTCTACTTATAGGACTCAAAAATGAACTTGAGGGAGAGTCCAAAAAACTCTCTGCTTTGCCACTATGTCCGGTTGTCTGCCTTGTCGGATACGGAACGTACGGCATAGTGGCAATCAAGAACATATTTTTTTTCTAGGGTAAACATACAATTTCTGAACGCAAATTAAGCATATGCATTGCTTCAAAATTTTATGAACGCCAATGGTAAACAGTCGAAATATAACTCAGTTTACAAATAAATTTACATATAACAAATTTAGTTTTTACATATCTCTGTCTCCAATGTTAGTAGGTTCTGCTCTGCTGAGACGACAATGCAAGTTTGGTACTGGCAGCGCAGGCATCGACAACCACACGTGGCGCCAGTTCACATACGTCTGGCAACAACAACACTCGTTCAAAACTTCACGTTCAAAGATCAGATTTAGAAGTTGAGTTCGTTCAATGCTTTCGAAATAGATGCAATAGTTTGTCATAGCGGAGAGCCGAAGACGTTCATTCCTTTCTCATCCGCATCCGCTCTACTCTGGATTTTGTTTTCAATTCAATTCCTAATTTAGAGCAAACTCTTTGTTGAGGGATTTTTTTGCAATTGACATATCGATTCGACAGACACCGTGTACGATATTTTAAAACAAATTTACAGAACTAAGTTTCATAGCACTTTTTCCACGCATAAGTGTGTGAAATCGAAACTAAGTGATAATTACCAAATTAAAAACGAAATTATTCACTCACAATGCCCTTGTGCGAGCATGACCAGGTATTTCTGTTTCTACTTTAATTTTAATAACTGTGCTAAATGATAATTTTTTGCACTTTTTCCCGCTAAGATCTTCAAATCTGAATCGAACTTGACATAAGTAAATACGTAACTATTTATTGACAATATCCTACTGTATGCACTGGGACTGGAAGACTTTTTATTGTCATGCCAGATTTTTTCATGAAACTTGGCACGTATAACTATTTCATATCCAAACCAATTATGACCTAATTAATAATGAAGATGTTTATTTACAGTACGCTGTTACAAGCATTGTAAGAATTTACTTTTCATTTTAATTTTGTGTCAGCTTCATTTTCGCATGTGTATATATAGGTATATATATTGTTGAACTTTATTAGGTTGACCCACGAGGATTTCTGACTTTCAGTTCAGCTTTCTTATTACGTTACGTAGATTAAGATACGTAAACAATCCAGTCATTCCCATGACGGATTGGTTTGATCGCATTTTGGTGATTGGTTAATGCCTGTGAAGGTTGTCTGTAAAAATTGTCTTGTCATCTGAAAATAATTGCTAAAATTTGAGATAACCAAAATTTGATCACACTCGTTTACCTTAATATAGTGACTGAATCCCAATCTAACATGTAACAGCTGGAATTCCTTGGAATGGGAGTATTGTTTACTTCTTGATCTCGTTGTGGCAACAGCAATCGGAAGCCATTGCGGTGACCATTGTGAACCTGTGATACAAAACATTAATCAAATCAAAAGTAGAACATTCAAAGTCAAACATAACAATTTGAAAATACTTAATACATGCCATATCGTGCCCAGTGTAGTAAAATAACAAAAAGTGAACGTGAATTATGAAGTTATGAACGCATCTAAAAATGAGTCGGGCAAAAAATTTGTTTGCCATCATGACGTACGGTAATCGTAAACTGCGGCTGTTATACATACGAAATGTAAACAGACGGTGTTCAGTGTTGCCATATGACTTTGGAGGAAATTTCTTCTAAAATAAAGATGGCCGGGATTGCGCGAACACGTGCGCGAAGATAATCAATTTTCATTACATTGCGCCAACTGTGCACAGCAATAGCTTAAAAAAAGTGAAATGCGTGGGAAAACTAGTATGGAATATATCTACTTGGCGAGCCGCGACTGAATTTTTCGAGCCGTGGTTTTATGGATTTGCCAGCCGTGATTCCATTTCTACGCATGGTGGCAGGGAATTATTGTGGGTACTTATCGGTCCACCGCCGTGCGTCGGTCTTAACCCTTCGCAAGGCCTCATGCCCTTGGCCCTTGGGGCCCCTCTTGCAAGTTGTAATGGTCTAAACTCAACAGTTCGACCCCTGGCCCCATCCCCATTGGACCCCATGGTCTCATCACAACTCCCTTTAGAAATATGTGGAGTTTCGAAATTGATAGTAATAAATCAATAAATATTTGAACTGGGAAATTCCTTAGTTACTTACATTGGTTCCACAATGATATCAATGACGTAAAAAATTACAATGACATCGGTTAAGCCTCACTGCCTCAGGCTCAGAGGCTCAGCCATGATTCTAGCTTTGCTAAGTCCTTACACTTACACTCTTACCTCGTAATTCATGATGTTAGAACTTTGATATTCAAATGTTGAATATCTGTCAAGTGTCAATATCACAATCAAGATTATTTCAAAATCAGAAATATGTTATAATATCACAATCGAAAATATTATTCACAAATAACCATTCATTTCAATGCCGAAATGGACTCCCATCTAATCACCCTAGCCATATGTTTACATACGTCACAAACGACGATTTTTTAATCAAACAAAAATTTATGACATTCGAGCCGCGAGATTTCATACCTACTGAAATTATATGATATTAGAGCCGTGATATTTCAGACAAAAATAGGACTTTTCCAGACTAGTGGGAAAATTCACCGAAAACATACATCATCCTGAGCGTGGGCAAAAGAATGGATGAAATTGGCCAGATTCACAGACATTTTTATCCTATTCCCAAGATTTTTTGTCAAATTCTTGGGTAGCTTTGGTCAATTTATCAGTTACAGACAGCTTTTTTGACTCCCTAGTCCCTATTGGCCTATTCCCAAAGTGTAAAATTAGACAGAAGCCAGTTGGTAGTAGTTATGAATTCAAATTGGCAAAAAGTGCCTATAAATCTGGCCAATTTCACCCATTCCTATGACCAGGGTGGAATTCTAGAAATGGAGGTTCACTTATAAAAAAGCTTTCCACCCAAGGTGGAATGCTTTCGGCTTTCCTTAGATACAGTGCTCTGCCAGGTGACTGACTATAAATGAAAAGGAGGATCAAAAGTGGACAAACTGTTTCAGTTGTATAGTACCTCAGATTTGTTATAAAATTGTTTGAATGTCTCTTGTTTGATAGATATTCTCTATTTTCCTTTTATTTAATGGATTTTTTGAAATTTTTCCAGGCTTTTTGTTTGTAATGATCAAGTTTAAGTTAAGTATTTAGTTAACCAGTACTGTAGTACATATACCATATTTGGGGGCGGGGCTTATGGACACAACCAATCACAGCTGGAAAGCATCCCCATTAACCAATCACAGCTTGAAAGCATCCTTAGCAACCAATCACAGCTAGAAAGCAGATAACATTACAACTTCATTAACCAATCACAGCTGGAAAGCTGGAAGGGGCTAAAATCACAATCCCATCAACCAATCACAGTTGAAAAGTGATAGGATATGTATAATGTATATAATAAAATGGACTGGAAGTGGAAAGTTCCTGGACTTTCCAACCTTTCAGGTCCTGCTTTCCAATATGCTATGTGTACTGGTTAATTTAATATCCCTCTAGAATTCCAAACTGCCTATGACCTATGCCTAATTTCTTCAGTGAAAAATAAGAAAGTCAGTGTAGGCCTATTTTCACGGTTCACCTGCAAATGCTGCAATTTACATAAATTGCCCGTGAAACAAACATTTTTACATGCAATTTTAGGAAACTTATGCCCAATATTCCAAATATACAACTGTCCAGGCTTGCTTTTTAGCCTTAAGGTATGTATTTTTTTCTGATGTGTATTGAAATTTATTGCCATCATAATTCATAAACAGTGATGACTGATCCACTGTGCAGAGAGTGGAGGAATATTACAAGATCTTTGGCAACGCTTCAGTAGCAAAATTTACGCATTCAGAAGATCTTGCTGACACATTTAGATTGAAATTCTTGCATTTAATATATTTGTCAGTCTCCGCCCAACTATTTAAAAAAAGTAAGGTTTCTGGTAAGTTGGATGGATCAGGATGCAGTGAAGCTTGTCCGGAAATCAGTTGCAATGAGTTCCCGCCAAAAAAAGTAAACGTCAAGTTTACGATTACGTAGTTGCGGTCACATTAGAGCGGTCCGACTGCATTATCACATGTTCAGTTGACACTTGCTGTACAATCAGACTGATTTTAGGGTAAAATTAGTTATTTGGGGTAAAACGTGCATGCAACCTTGTAAATAAGTTTGTGGCTTGTAAATAGTTTTTCATTACTCAGCATAAATGGCTTTTCATTAAAAATTACCCTGCGACGCATCTTAAAATTACCCAGCGACGCTTAGGGCTTAAAAACCCATATATTGGCGACGCTGCATCCACCCTCTGCACCCTGGTGACTGATGAGATATTACTCACTTTGTATTTAGAAGAAATAATATTGCTGCTAAGTATATATTTATTATTCGTATGTGTAGCAACTAGGGCTTCATTACTAATGGTCTAGTCATGGACTACCACCTCCACAATTTTTTTTAATATTTTATTACAATAGAAAAAGATTAGAACTTCTTTATCTAAAAAGTTATCCTTAAATACCTGTGAATGATAATATCAAAGCATTATTAGTTGTAACCCTAACAATCTCTTATTTATACTATATATAAATAAACATCTACAAGTTCTGTTCAACAGATGCATTTACTCCTATAATAGACATGCATTCAATATTTTTTATAGAGTGCCAGTCAGCCAGTGGTCATCAATTAAAAAAATAATAGGAATATTTACACTTAGGGGAAAAAATATGAAGCCTTTACGCCTTATTTGCTTATTTACTCATGCCTTAACTACCCTGTATCCTTTTTGTTTAACATGGATAAAAGGATTTGAAAATAATTGTTTAGCCAATTGAACTATCATAGCTGAAAATCTTGGAGCATAGGGTTCTGTTCTTAGTACCTGTATTATTTACCTTCTGTTATAATAATAAATTATCTTGAATTAAAGAATTAGGGGTGAACATATTATGTCATTACTGTAGGGCAATTAACAAGTTTATTGTTAACTATTGAAATAACATCATTGATTAATTATTGATACTTGTTTATTGGTGGCATAAGGATAATGTTTATTCATTGATCATAGTTCAGTGTTTAACCAATCAGTAAAAAAGTTTTGTTGAACAGACCACCATCATAGCAGTGGAGTTTGATGGTGGTGTGGTTGTGGGAGCTGACACCCGCACATCATCTGGCACCTACGTCTCTAACCGAGCTACTGACAAACTCACCAAAGTAACTGACAGCATCTACTGCTGCCGCTCAGGGTCTGCTGCTGACACTCAGGCTATTGCACATGTGGTAGCTTCCCACATGGAAATATTGGAGTAAGTTTCCTTAAACTCAGAAAAACAAGTAAACCTTTGTCCACATTGCATTTTTAAAATTTATTTTAGTGGTCATTCTGACTTGGTTGGGTCTTGCAAAAGGGCATATCAGGATTATGCTCTCTCTGCTTGTGCTATGGAAATGCAAGCTTCATCATTTGTACAATATGCCATTAATATTTCTTGGTGTTCTGGTAATGGCTGCATCAACTAAGAGATAAGTAACACTGATACAAGTCTTGGATTTCCCTACTAATGTAGTGTGTAGCTGAATTCCCTTTCCTAGAAAATTATGTTTTATTTTTTTCATATCTTGTGATCCTGGTAAGATCCTCAAGGCTATGTATACAAGTTGCAGTTCTTTACTTAAGCAGCTTATAACTTATACCTACTGCATTAAATTCCAAAACGTACCAGCATTCATTTCAACATATTTCTGTAAATATTATCCATTTTCAACTACAATTTTTTAGATTTTATTTTGATATGTACATAATTATTATCTCTACAGGCTGAGTGGGGAAACATTCAGTACATTTTCTCAGTAATAGAAACAAAATCAAAAGTTATAATAAAGTGTCATTATTTCCAGCACTAATGATATAGAGCTGAGTATAGAATAATTATAATCATTGCCTGTTGAATAGAGTGAAGAGTGGCGAGGCTCCTTCAGTGCGCGTTGCAGCAAGCACGTTCCGTGAGATCTGCTATAAGTACAGAGACAGCCTCTCAGCCGGCATCATTGTTGCTGGATGGGACAAGCAGAATGGTGGACAGGTATGTGGTCTAGCCTCATTTTGCTCTGGATGTATTTCTAATTGGCTTCTGTGTACTATAAACTCATGGCAGCGGGATGCAGAAATATAAAAAGTGGCATTTTGTACATCTTGGCATCGTTTTATGATGGTTTCTGTGTAACAGGCACTATGGTCTGTCCTCAAGCCTCATTAGCTTCCAGTTTTTTTTTTGTAACATTCGGTGTCATACATGGTAGATCACAAAGCCTAGAAGGGCAGAAAAATTTTAAGCTAACTAGAAATTTAAAAGCAAAGAAAATTCCACAGAAGTTCATAGTATCTTTGTAGAAAACATTTCAGAGTCCAGCTCCATCGTCAGTTAGAAGATTCTAAAATGCAAATGAAATATATAACGCAAGAAAAAAACTGCATAACCTATCTATTCACAATCTCAAGGGGATAGGAGCTAAAAGGTGAATTCAAACTGGGCCTCTGTTTAAAAATGTACAAGGATTCTAAAATACGCAGATCTGATGTACCGGAAGTGGAAGCTTACACCCTCAAGTCATTGTAAGATACTGGGATATTATACTACTTGGCGTGAATGCGCACAGCCGAACGAGGAGGGTGCGATAGCAACTGTCAAGTCCTTCAACTCTTGCCGCCCTTACGCTCTGCGACCCTAGAATAAAGATTGCTTGACGTCACTATGACGTACACAGGTGCACATCGTGCTCAACAATATTGATATAGTAGGGACGATCGCTTATGAGCAGGGAGCATTTCTTTGTATGTACAGAAATATCCGATTTTCAAATTGTTCACCAACACAACTTGAAGATTTGGGAAGTATTTCATGGACAAGACTTTTGATTCTCTTGAAATAGCTGCGGACGCAGGCCCGTAGTATTGAAAAGAACTACGTTCCTACTATCGTGCTCGAGAATAACCTCACTGTATTGCTTAGACATGAATTTCTTGATTTGGATAAACACAACACCCTTCGGCCTCGTTTGAATTATAATATTAGCTTTCTAATGAAAGTACCAGCTTCTTTAGCTTTCGTTAACTGATTCAAGTTAAAATGGGCTTCAAATATTATTGCACAGTGGGCTTTCGCAAAACGAGCCTCATAAGTAGTAACTAGACCTTATCTCTCTCGTTTTCTTGATGCGACCTGAAATACCCTATTTTTGCAGGTGTACATGGTCCCAATTGGCGGCATGCTGATCCGACAGAGCGTGGCACTGGGTGGCAGTGGCAGCACGTACATCTGGGGCCACTTGGACGCCACGTACAAGCCTGGCATGCAGAAGGAGGAGTGCGTCGAGTTCGTCAAGAAAGCCGTCACCCTCGCCCTCAACAGGGACGGCAGCAGCGGCGGCTGCGTCCGGGTCGGCATCATCACCAAGGATGGCGTCGAGCGCCGCACCTTCCTCCACCACGAACTCCCCGAGTATTACCTCGGATAATTTTATTGATCGTGCTTTTTCAATCCTTGCTAGAGACAGTAAAAATTCTTTTCAAATAAGCTTTTAATTCCCCTAGATACCAAATCGCTCTTGCAACCACTAAATGAATACGTTATTAATTACATCCATCAGGTGCTAAATAAAGGCACACATAATTCTAAAATTTAATGTTCTGTATGTATTACATACCTCATGTGCATTATATGAGGGACGATTATTAATCAGCATCAGATCACTGTTTTACCGTAAACTTGAATAAAGAAAAGAGATGGAATCATGACTCATAAGTTGGGCGGTTGTTCACAGGGAATAATGTTCTAATAATGTGTTCTCAGAATGTTTTCTCGGAAGACAGAGGAGCCTAATGAACACAGTAGGAGTATTTACTGAAATTTAAAACTACTGGCACGTTGAGTTGGTTGTCACAGCCTCCTCTTGCGACGCGTGTCGTCTTCTGCGGCATCTGAAATATTGAACGAATCCTTGAGCCTGAGATCAGGAAAAAACATCGCGACAAAATTCATCTTTTGAATGTTGCGTAAACTTGATTAACGGCGTTTGTGGAACATTCTCCAATTTTGCCTATAATTGTTAAAATTAAGCCAATTACAACATTGTCTTAAAAGATAAGGAGGTGAAATTTATAGTGTGAGTGGGAATTCGCTTGTTTGAGCAAATTAAAATAGGTAATGGAAATTATATTAAAAAAAATGATTACATTAATCTAGTTCATAGACTGACAAACCCGCTCGTTGACAAAATTTTGAGAAATGTCAATCGTCTCAAACTGTGGAATGATTAAAAAGAAAACGTACATTCATTACGGTAGCGAATATTTTTCACCGCAACGGAGTTAATGGGGATACATATTCACTTGTCTTTATTGATGAAACTTCAATACTTGTAAATACACAGGAAGAAAATATATCCATTGCTGCAATGATTAGAGCTTGAAAATTAAATCGATCGTAGACTCAATTTCTCAATAAATAGAAATTGGGATATTCCCTTTTAAAATATTTTTCACGAGGCTATATTACACTCCTCGAAAGAACGATTACTATGTGAAGTAGATTCATTAAATCAGCGTAGTAGCAGTTTTTGTTTAGAAGACTTAGTCTACTAGCATCTCTCCTAATAAATACAGAATGTACGAACCCCATTGATTGTTTATGTATCTGTATCTAACATATTAATTAAGGTCTTACGCAGAAAGAACAATATACAATGAAAACATCTACAGGTTAAGGTACAAAAAAGCTCTCTAAAAAACGTATCAAACTCACTTGAAGGCAGTCATGAGTGGCGTTAAGCCACCGTCATTCTCAGGACTCTGTAGGAACACAAATACAAGCGTTAGGATCCTTGCACACCATCAATGGTCACTAAAAATGCTATTGTTAATAGATTAATATTAAAAGATTAATCTAGTTCATCAACTGAATTATCACAACTCTTTCAACGCAAAAGTTTGAAATGTCAACTGGTCGAGCTGCACACATAGTTTAGCGTTGTATGTCTCACGCTTCAACTGCTTACGACCAAACTCTCGGCAATACTACAATTTTCAATGCAAAAATAGAGAATAAACTTCCACCATTGATAGTGTGACGGAGTATAAAGAAGCGGTGATCTGATTAAAAACTTACAAAACTTTGGTAGGAATAGCATTAGGACGCGTGGACCAACTAATACTCTATGCGATTAAACACTATTGCACAACTTTGGTAGGAATAGCATTAGGACGCGTGGACCAACTAATACTCTATGCAATTAAACACTATTGCACAACTTTGGTAGGAATAGCATTAGAAACGCGTGGGCCAACTAATACTCTATCTGATTAAGCATTATTGCACAATTTTGGTAGGAATAGCATAAGAACGCGTGGGCCAACTAATACTTTCCTAATGCTTGACGACGAACGATCGTTAATTAAACCGCTCGCTAAACGATCGCACTAAAATAAATGAATGAACCATATTTACCCACAACGATACATTTTCTAACCCACAGCACAAGTACAGAGCGAACATTACGATCTGATACTCTGAACGGATACGCTCTTTTTCCAGCCAAACTGGGTCACGGTGCAAAGGTATTGCCAAACGGCGATAAAGTGCATCGCTATTTGAACAAAGACTCGTTAATTTCTTCGCGTGCACGCTAGAAATGAGGTAAATTAACCTTACAAAACACCTACACTTCACGGAATCAACAAGCTCACTACACTAAGTGTTCAGTTTAGTGGAATTTCTCAACAGGTCCACAGTTTATGCAAAGGTTGGAGTTAAATGGTCGCTTAATTAAGGGTAAGGCGGGATTAGGATGAAAAAGAGAGGATAAACACGGAGCTAAGAACTGTCCATGAGTACGAGAAGCGATAAAGAGCGTCGCGAGCAAGTTGCTTAGAGACTACGACCATCTCTTAGAACTACGACCATCTCTTAGAACTACGACCATCTCTTGGAACTATACAACCATCTCTTGGAACTATAACGACCATCTCTTCGAACTACGACCATCTCTTTGAACTACGACCATCTCTTTGAACTACGACCATCTCTTTGAACTACGACCATCTCTCTGAACTACGACCATCTCTTTGAACTACGACCATCTCTCTGAACTACGACCATCTCTCTGAACTACGACCATCTCTCTGAACTACGACCATCTCTCTGAACTACGACCATCTCTTTGAACTACGACCACCCCTTTTGAACAAGGACCACCCTATTTTGCATGGCTGCCGCCCCTCCTGCCGACCGGTCATAACTTCGTCAAATTCCACTCATCTTAGTGGCATCGCTTCAAGCCCTCGGCAGAGGCTGTTCCGGCAGCGGTATCAACTACCAGTCTACCATCTCACGTGAACGCCTGGTGGTGCCGTGAGCTGTCTTATTATCGGTAGGTAACTGTCTAAATATGAATTTCTGCCTCTTAAAATTTCCTGGTCAGAACAACACAGATTGATACTTCCATGACATTTTACAATGCCATGCATTGGAAAATGCATGGCATTGTAAATCTCGTCAATTTTCTACATGATTGCGGCATCTAACTAGTATCATAAACTTTTTCGCTTGCTACGTTGCTACCTCCCCGCCTGCCTTGACAACAGATCTCACTTCAGAATACACACAGGCAGTCACATCTCCACTATCTCCTTCCAATCGTTTCGTTCTTGAATGACCAGTTCTGACCCTTAACATCGACATTTATCCCGGTGACCTCAATTATGTATCCTTTCCGAGGCTCGACGTTCCGAATCTTACCTACAGAACCATTACGCATCTAATCTTGAATTACGCAGCACCAATCTTGTTCCCTTCAGAACCCCGCATTGAGGTTCGCCACTGGCTGCCTTATGATGTCATCCATCGAACACCGCCACACGACAAGAATCAATTCCCTATTTGCTCACTTGGACCCAGCATGTTTGCAGTACCTTGCCAGCGTCGTTCAAACTCACCTACTTACCTGCTCGTTTCTGCACCTCTGGAATAATGTCAGTGAAGCATAGGTACTTTTACGTCGCATTTAGGCAACCTTGTAGATTTTCCCTAATAAGTGGTGTCATGCTTGCTGGCTCTTATATAGTGGCTAAAGGGACACTTCATGAGGAAATTTATTCTCGCAACGAGTAGGCTGGTTGCTCGACTCCCTCCAATTGCTGATGAAAAAGCCCTGGTCCCTCTCCCGTAACGTTCAGCTTTGGCTACTCATTAGCCAGGCAACTACAGCTCTGTAAATTTCTGATCATCTTAATCGTACTACTCCACAACCCCAGCACCGTCAGCCAAGAATACGCAGATCCTGTCCAACCAATCTTTTGCCTACTCTCCCGCAGCCTTCCTGGTCTGCTTTTTATAGAATAGCCCAGCAGAGGCGACCAGTGCTAATTTTCTCACCATCATTTTACTTTTGCTCATATTTCCCACTGCCATATCACTAAACCGATCCGCCTCATCGGCGTACGTGAATTTCGGTACCACGAACAACAACTATAAACAACAATAATAGTAGTTCCAAAGACATATCACCAATTCAAGTTCAGAGATTATTCACATGGATGCCCTTTAGTGAGAAGCATAAGTGAGAGAAGCATCATAATAAGAAAAATGTCACGATCAACTGAAGCATTAATTTCAAATGGTTTAAAAACCAGGAACAACATTGGAGGAAAAGGGGAAAATTAGTCGTCGCGTTTGACCTCTGAAAACAAGACACTTTCTAATATTATTCTTACAACAGCTCAGCCACCCTTCATTAGAAAAAATTCAGAAGCCGAACACACACTTTGAAAATAGTCAGTTGTCTGCAAAAAATCTGTGTCTACCATAAGCTTTTTCTTTGTAGTATTATTGCTAATGTATAATCACAGTCGCGACACACATAAGGTACAAAAATATTTAGACTTTACAACTCACTGAAAAGTTTGTTGCTCTGTCCAAACGGCGATGAGAAGAGTGAGCCGCCGGCTTGTGTTGTGCTAGTGTTGCCGAAGGCAGAAGCGCAAGTGTTGCCAAATGTCGGGGAAGTAGTGTTTCCAAAAGCAGAAGTGCCGGTATTGCCAAAGGCGGAGTTATTGGGGCTGCCAAATGCCGAAGTGCCGGTGTTGCCAAACGCCGAAGTACCGGTGTTGCCAAATGCCAAAGAGCCGGTATTGCCAAACGCTGAAGAACCAGTGTTGCCAAACGCCGAAGCACCGGTGTTGCCAAACGCTGAAGTACCGGTGTTGCCAAACGCTGAAGTACCGGTGTTGCCAAACGCTGAAGTACCGGTGTTTCCAAATGCCGAAGTACCGGTGTTGCCAAACGCTGAAGTACCGGTGTTGCCAAACGCTGAAGTACCGGTGTTTCCAAATGCCGAAGTACCGGGGTTGCCAAACGCTGAAGTACCGGTGTTGCCAAATGCCGAAGTACCGGTGTTGCCAAATGCCGAAGAGCCGGTATTGCCAAACGCTGAAGAACCAGTGTTGCTAAACGCTGAATTACCGGTGTTGCTAAATGCCGAATTGCTGGTGTTGCCAAAGGCAGAGGTACCAGTGTTGCCAAACGCAGACGTACCAGAGTTACCAAACGCAGAGGTACCAGTGTTGCCGAATGCTGAGGTACCAGTGTTGCCAAATGCTGAAGTACCAGTGTTGCCAAATGCTGATGTACCAGTGTTGCCAAATGCTGAGGCACCAATGTTGCCAAAAGCACTTGCTCCGCCGGTGCTGCCTAAGCCTCCGCCGAAGTTTAATGAACCAAAGTTGTTCGGTGTGCCCAGATTCCTGAGAAGCAGCAAAAGCGAACAATTAGATAAAAATAGCACAAGTGATCGAACCTGCATTAGATCAAGGAGATTTTTCTTTCATTAGATCAAGGAGATTTTTCTTTAATTAGATCAAGGAAATTTTTCTTCCAGAGGAATCAATGAGTAGTAACCATATTTGAGATAAATCGTGAAAAATAAGTTCAAAACGTGTATACGTGCATTCTAGACGGAAACGCTGTTCAACGAAGAAATAGTGGCAAGTACAAAATAGTCCCTGACTCAGGGATGCTGAATTCAAATTAAAAATCTGCTTTCACCATCGCCAAAAATTTCCGCGAGGAAGCCAAAGCTAGCGCCGATATCAGTCAGGTCTTAGTTTTACCTATCTTCCCCGGGCCGGATTATCAAAACATCGCTAAGTACATGCAGCGACTTACGTGTTGCGTAAGTGCTGCTGCGAAGACGTAACTCTAGCGGTGTTATTATAAAAACATTTACGCGGGAAGCTAGGTACAAGAAATTGTGCGTAACTTAGCGCTTGCTTGAAGGTGTCGTAAGTGGAGTTGCGCACAGCTTTTGAATGGGTGAAGCGATTGGTAATCATTTAGTTAATAGCGTCTAGACTCTAGTATAAATCCTCAAATTTTTATTCAGATTATTTCTCTATTTCTAAGGAATTATATTAGTCATGCACCTAGATAATTTTTTTTCATTACATGTCGATAGAAAAAGAGTAGTTGGTAGAGCTAAACAATGAATAGATATTAATATATAATTTATAGATATTAATAGATATATAATATATCTTATCATTAATACTTACTTTGCCATTTTGAAGCGGCATTTGGCATTGATTTTTTAGAGTAAAATCGTCTAGGATTCTTGAAAAAATCTAAAAATGTTCAACTAACTGAACACAGAAACGAAGCGTTCGATGACACATAATGTAATCAAAGGATGTAAGCGAGCTTATGATTGGCTTATGTGCAAAGAGGTTTGATAAAAGCTTTTCAGATAAGTCTTGCGTACGCAAGTTTTAATAATATAATACCAGAATTTGGGCGTACTTAAGCAACACGTAGCTTTTTGTGTGTAATCGCAAAATGTTACGAAAATTTGATAACTGGGCCCATGCGCAGCAGCTTGGTGATGTAACGTAAACGTGTGGCTAAAACTTCGTTTGCTTCCTATCCTTCAAACGGTAATATTTCACAAATCTGTAATTGTTTCACTAACCCCTCCAAACGTGAACAGTCACGGCTCAGCCAAAGAAAAGTTCAATACGTGCCTAAGTAAGGCAATTTGACGATGATTTCACCGAAGTCATTGATTATTGCAGGTTCATTTATCAATTGCTGTAAAAAGTAAACTATTTTATAATGAACTAACCAGTTTCAATCATACTCCCTAGTGCTTCTGTAAATATTGGAAGACTCCAAATATAGTTTATAGACATCATTTGAGTATTTGGACATTATCATTTTTCTATTCAAATGCACGTTCGATTTCCTTGCGCATGATTCAATTTTATTTCATTTTTCTCTAATACTCTGCAATAGCCTCGGGCATATCAAAAGATAGAGAATATGTACTTCAACAAGGCGATTTCTTTCCGAGACAAGCATGTGTCTTCCGCATAATTTGCAGAGTCGTAACTCGTCTCCTCAAAACCGTGTAACTATTTGTACAGCAAAATTCTTGATGATGATAAATCCTGTGCTCCTCACATCTGTTGTAACTTTTGCATGACTAACTGCCATGTCAGTATAAAAAATGCGTTCAAATTTGCAGTACCGATTGGTTAAGTCATATGGATAATAGTTATTGATCCTGATAAAAATGATCTTCAACTATAGTTCTTACAGTATACAACCCCGAGGCAATTCTTACACTTTTTTTCGTGTCGATTTTGTCTTTTAGTTTTCAAATTTAACTTCTTGACAAATAGAACAACTTCGGTTTATTGAAGGACCTAGCCAGGACTAAAAGCTTGGTTATTTGTAAGCCTGATAAAGGTCATGATGAGGCATGGGTTGCTTGTACGAGGAATTGTTACACCAGAAGTCTGCATGCTTGTGGTGTCCAATGGCATCGTTACAATTTCACCCAGAGTTAAATACCTAAATGATTGCAAGATGTCCCGCAGTAGGAAAAAAAAATTTAGAGTAAACGGTAAGTACTATTGAGACTAGACAATTGGAATTTTTGTACGTTTTAGTATGAATTTATAAGGTTCTATAAGATTCAAGATCATCTTTGCTGTTGGGTGGGATGTCACTAGGTGCCCTGTGACAACTCAGGCAACACTATAAAAGCTCAGGTAAGAAGTCTACCTTTAAAATCGAAGAAATTACGTTTTCTATGTTTGCCATTTTTTGTAGGGAGAACTATTACAAATCGGCGGCAATAAACCGAAATGAAATAGCTGTCATGGTTCTTTCGTGAGGCTGTATTGAACTTTCATAAGATGAATATTTTATAACCATTGTTTATAAAGATTGCTTTGAAAAATCTGTATTTATAGATCATCATTCGCGTAAATTGCAATGTGTTTGCAGTTGTTTTAAAGCTGCAAACGAGAAGTGTTAAATAAGGCAAATACTATGGATGTACATGCAACACTCTTTGCATTAGGCAGTTTTGAACTTAAATAAAATGACGATTTTATAACGATATTTACAATGTTTTATGAAATAAAATGATATTTTTAGATCATTATTTGCGTTTATTGCGATGTGTTTTTACTCTTTCAGAAAAATTCACACAAATAGCTTACTATTCGCGTTTTATTGGACAAAAATAATTCTAAAGGCACGCCTCAATGCGATTAATTGGCAATGGAAAAGCTTGGGCTACAGTACCAAGCAAAATTTGAATATTGTTTCTCTAATAAATTTTCGTTATTCGGTTCCCCTGAACAATTCAAGTTTTCAAAATACGCCATTTTTTAAATCTTTCGCTTCGTGTAATTTTCAAGCTACAACATTGAGAGACATATCATTTGATTTGAAAAGACCATGTCCAGCGACTCTACGAGCCTTTTTTCTGATTTGTACACGATTTGGATTATAAATTGAAAAACTAGGGGGAGGGGGGAAAATGGAATCATGTAAACATTGTAGAAAAAAATGAAAAAATGCTTTTATGGTCGATTTCAAGTCGAAAGATATGTCTCTTGATGTTGTAGCAAGTAAATTAAAGGAGGATATCAATTTCTAAAGAACCCCCTTTTTTGTCATTTTCTATGCATTTCATGTTTTATTCAAATTTCTTTAAAAATTTACACAAGATAAATATTTTTCTTTTAGTGATTTACATAAATATACGAAGTTTCAGAATAACCGGTTATTTACTTGAGGAGATATTCTTGAGGGTAGACCCCCCTTTAATCCGCTGTCGAGGCCGTGGTCATCAAATGGCAAGTCGCTAATGTTGGAAGTACAGCTCGCGTTACCCACTCTTAGTATTCTACTTATAATTTATTGTTTTCAGTCAATTTCCCTTGGTTCAAAAATCTGTCCGCATGAATTGCAGAATTATATTGTTGCCAATTATTCTAAAGAGTATTTCTGTTCATAAGATTCTATTTACTTCTAAATATTCAAAAAGAAATTCCCTGGTAAATTCGGTCCACATCCCAATTGAGGTTCAAAATTTGGGAAACAAAACAACGATCAACGGATTATTTCTACCTTGATCACTTCATGCTGTCATTTCCGACAATTCTAAATTTGGAGAAATTATCAACCCGAAATAAAATCGTTCAAAAATATAAGTTTAAATTAATAAGTTTCTTCATAATTTAAAGACTCCCCATGAAACTTATTCTAAACTTAAATTTCTGGCTCATGCCTGCCAAATGCCAAACATTCAAAGGCCTGTTTTCGTTTTGAAATTTCAATTCTGTCGCATACTAACTGCAAATAATTGCACGAGTTTTAAAGTTACCTTATCGCTCGGTTTGAATGGTTTCACTACTAACCAATTTACTGTTGACATTTATTGATCCCTTGCAAGATTTAACCTTTGGTCAGGTATTTATAAATATTTTAATGTTCTCCTAAGAGGTTTCTTGGTTGGCCGTTTATTCTATCGATTTTAATCTAACTTCAAACAGTAGATGTGTTGTCACCTTTCTAGTAATCTTGAGGCAACACTCTCATGCAGCCCTTTCCTTTAATTCCCCAACTTGAAACATTCATTAACGAAATTTACGATGGACATGCCGACATACCGAAAATTGTTGTTCCCTGGCCCGTTTTTTTGGTACTAAGGCTTTAATCTCCTTCGCGTAAATTTGGCTCTCCTCTTTTGATTACACTTTCATTTTGAATTGATAATTAAGCTGGCTTCGCAACTTTTTTCGATTATTATATAGTGAATTTACTGGGCGTTTTTTTGCATTTCAAGTTCATTGTAAATTTGCGGATTAAGCATACTAATTATATAAGTACAGAGGAACTTCGTCTTACGAACTTAATTCCTGCATAAACTCGGTTCGTTCGAAAATAAAGTTTTTTTTTCATTGAAATAAACGAACCGAACCCAATTCGTTTCGGGCCACCCCAAAAACCTACCCTATCTCGTATTCCGTATCAGTCGGTAGAGCACGAGACTCTTAATCTCGGGGTCGTGGGTTCGAGCCCCACGTTGTCCGTATATATTGCATTTACAACAATGCGAATATTTCGAGGTGCCTAAGAAGGCATCTTTCATACTCAAGATGGTGGAGACCACATTTTTGTCTTGGCCTTCCTAGTAGGCCTAGTCTACCAGCCGCATGCCTCTTTATGATGTCAAATTCAACTAGATATCGACACTTCCTATGCCGATCAACTGCTTGATGCCGTGCCTGGGGTTGTAGAACGAAGAACGGTCAAATAGAGGAGCACATTCACTCCGATCTGACTTTTCGTTATGCGCTTTGGTCGTAAGGCAAGACGTTCGTAAGGCGGTTCGGTCGCAAGGCAAGACGTTAAGGTAATTAAGTAAGGTAATTAGTTCCTACGTGCGAACTTATTTCACATTTTCCTCGACCAAAAAAATAGAATCCAAGAAAAATCAATGGTGTGATTTATCAAAATTTTGAGGCCCTGCATGAGGGAGGCCACTCACCCGAAGAGGGAGGACTGGGTGCTGAGGCCCTGCATGAGGGAGGCCACTCACCCGAATCACCCGAGGAGGGAGGACTGGGTGCTGAGGCCCTGCATGAGGGAGGCCACTCACCCGAAGAGGGAGGACTGGGTGCTGAGGCCCTGCGTGGGAGGAGGTGCAGGATTGAGGCTCAGGGCGCGAGCCCTCGCCGCGCTCAGCTGGTAGGCGCCCAGGCGACTCGTGCCTCCCGACACTGCACAACCATTGCCATTAGTGGCACCTGCCATTAGTGGCACCTGCCATTAGTGGCCCCTGCCATTAGTGGCACATGCCTGCCATTAGTGGCACCTGCCCGCCATTAGTGGCACCTGCCATCAGTGGCACCTGCCATCAGTGGCACATGCCATTAGTGGCACGCGCCTGCCATTAGTGGCACCTGCTATTAGTGGCACGTGCCTGCCATTAGTGGCACGTGCCTGCCATTAGTGGCACCTGCCTGCCAGTAGTGGCACCTGCCATTAGTGGCACGGGCCTGCCATTAGTGGAAATCAATGCAATGAGTATGATTATCAATATAATCAATGATTCCCATTGCTCACAATTAATGTTATAAAATTTTCTTACATGCCAATAGTGGACATTTTTACTAAGAGTGACCGTAAGATCATAGAGATCCATTGAAGAAAACATTCGGTGACGTTCTGTAACAAATTCAGAATTGCGAGCAGGTATTAGAGCAGTAATATTGAAGCCTTCGCCATGTCATATGTTAAATGTAAAAATATTATGAATAAAAACAAGAAAGAAAGCTTGTGTTTTCATCTTCTCCGATGACGATTGACAGACAAGCAAGGGAGACCTGTAAAGAATCCCCTTCACGAATACACGTGAAGAACGTCAGTAAACAAACAGCAAAAACTGCCACTAAACAACCATTAGGCAAGATTATTATGATTATATTATATATTACTTCGTATAAATAATTAACTGCCACTAAAACAACCATTAAGGTAAGAGAGACCTGTAAAAAAGCCATCTGAAGATTACACGCAATGTCGATCAGTAAAAAAAGATAACTCAGTACTCACTGCAGTGAGTGACAGAGAGCGCATTTTCTCGTCGACGAAAACTTGAGGTCACAGACGGACGGACGGACGGACGGACAGATGGACAGACAGACGGACATGGTGAGCACAATAGTGCATTTTTTCCATAAATGAGAAAATGCGCTAAAAACAGCAAAAACTGCCACGAAAAACAACCATTAGGCAAGACCAGTGAAGCAGACGACCCTCAATTACGACGAATTACCCTCAATTACCCTCAGACGACGAATTACCCTCAATTACCCTCAGACGACGAATTACCCTCAGACGACGAATTGCCCTCAGACGACGAATTACCCTCAGTTACACTCAGACGACGAATTACCCTCAGTTACACTCAGACGACGAATTACCATCAATTACCCTCAGACGACAATTACCCTTAATTACCCTCAGTTACACTCAGACGACTAATTGCCCTCAGACGACGAATTACCCTCAATTACCCTCAGACAACAATTACCCTCAGTTACACTCAGACGACGAATTACCCTTAATTACCCTCAGACGACGAATTACTCTCAATTACCCTCAGACGACGAATTACCCTCAAACGACAATTACCCTCAGTTACACTCAGACGACTAATTACCCTCAATTACCCTCAGACGACGAATTACCCTCAATTACCCTCAGAAGACAATTACCCTCAGTTACACTCAGACGACGAATTACCCTCAGACGAGGAATTACCCTCAGACGACGAATTACCCTCAGACGACAATTACCCTCAAAGCAGACGACCATTACCCTTAAAGCAGACGAACATTTCCCTCAAAGCAGACGACCATTACTCTCACAGCAGACGACCATTACCCTCAAAGCAGACGACCATTACCCTCAAAGCAGACGACCATTACCCTCAAAGCAGACGACCATTACCCTCAAAGCAGACGACCATTACCCTCAAAGCAGACGACCATTACCCTCAAAGCAGACGACCATTACCCTCAAAGCAGACGACCATTACTCTCACAGCAGACGACCATTACCCTCAAAACAGACGAACATTACCCTCGAAGCAGACGGCCATTACTCTCACAACAGACGACCATTACCCTCAAAGCAGACGACCATTACCCTCAAACCAGTGAAGCAGACGACTATAACCCTCGAAGCAGACGTCTATTGCCCTCAAACCAGTGAAGCAGACGACCTTTACCCTCAAAGCAGACGACAATTCCCCTAAAAGCAGTCGATCATTACCCTCGAAGCAGTTGCGCACGACGCCGCTCTGCTCGGGCACGGCGCTCCTGCAGGAGTTGTCGTCGAGTTTGCTGAGGTCGCCGACGCCGGCGCGGAAGAGAGGCTGCGGCTTGAGGTGGTCGGGGCACGGCAGCAGCGCGTTCAGCTGCACGAGCTTAGCGTGCACACGGTACACGTGAGCTGCTGCCACCTGTAGGTTGTCGTGCTGACGTCGTACTAGCTCTCGAACAGCTGTAAGTGGGTACAGAAGCAGCTGTAATCAGGTACCTACACAAACAGCTGTAATCAGGTACAGAAGCAGTTGTAAGTGGGTACAGAGCAGCTGTAAGTGGGTACAGAGCAGCTGTAAGTGGGTACAGAGCAGCTGTAAGTGGGTACACAGAGCAGCTGTAAGTGGGTACAGAAGCAGCTGTAAGTGGGTACAGAGCAGCTGTAAGTGGGTACACAGAGCAGCTGTAAGTGGGTACACAGAGCAGTTGTAAGTGGGTACAAAAACAGCTGTAAGCAGGTACAGAAACAGCTGTATGTAGGTACACAAACAGCAGTAATCAGGTACCGAAGCAGCTTAATCTGGTACAACAACAATAATCGGGCACAGAAAAAGCTGTATTTGGTTAAAAAAAAGCTCGAATCCAGATGTTGCAGTATTCTCGTTCAAAAACTTTCGGTCACCAGTTTCTGCACACTATCCGACGACGTTCAAACAGTGAAAAAAATTATCACAGAGTGCAGATAGTCAAAACTGTGAAAAAATTAATCGCAGAAGCAAGACAATCAACACAGCAAAAAAATTCATCAAAGAGGCAAGTGGTCAAAACAGCAAAAAATTTATCACAGAGGCAAGATAATCATAACAGCGAAAAAATTTAGCACAGAGGCAATATAATCAAAAAGATAGTTAAGAAAAACTTAGACAAAACCTCCCTCTGGGACTGTCAGAAAATTATTCATATCATCATCTAACGTGAATAAATGAGCTTAGCAAAAAGCTGCAGTTTACATATAATTCTCATTCATGGTTAAAAACCAGACGGTGTAGAGGAGACTAAAATAAAAGTTTTAACTTAACTCGTTTGTATTCCTTCCTCTTTCCCGGCATGATGCAGTGAATTTAATGCTACAATTCCTCAAAAACATATTCGGGGTTTTAAAGCCAAACCCATGGTTTTTTTAAATAACTAAAAATGCAGATGAAAAATGAAACTTGATAAAAGAGAAGCATTATAACCATCCACCAGCCATAAATAATCAAAGGCAATCGAACTAAATTTTTGAACTATAATATCTGGAAATCCTGACAACTGAATTAAAGGCCTAAAAATTCCAACAATTTTCTAGAAAAAAAATGAACCGGAGAATGACTTTAATGGTTCTTCGCCTTTGAATTATCCAATAATAATAATAATACTAATTCGATTGCAAAACTCACCACTGTTGCTGTCGAGAGTTTGGCCGGTGAGCGCCAGACACTTCTCGACCTCCTCGATCCTGTCCCTGCAAGACGTCATGTGAAGCTCAAACTCGTCCAGTACCTGCAGTACAAAGTATGTGTAAATCTTATGCTTATAATATAATATTATTAATATTGTATATTATATATTTTATTAATATTGTATTAAATATGTTTATCATAGATGGCACCATATTATATGCATGGGGTGTGCAGCACTACGCCTACAGATTACACAATTAGTTTTAGATGGTAGAATTAGATGATTTATAGGAATGCGATTGATGACCAGAGAATTCGTTGATTTAAATTATCAGAGAGTGGAACAATTCTTCAGACGACGGTAGATTGAAAGTCAGCTTTCAGAAAGTAGTTTTTATTTATTAACAACGTTTCGAATGCAACAAATTTTCATTTTCAAGTTACAAGAAGCATTAAATATTGAAATTTTGGTTGAAATACGTATACATAGTATAAGAAATAAGTAATAATATTTATTAAATATGCTCAGCCTGGAAGGCACCAGCATAGTGTGTCACTACGCCTGCTGCTCACATCTACACATCATGACTGTGATGTAGAGCTTGTAATCGCACCACTACACTGCCCCCACCACTACAAAGGCGCGTGACTCACTTTACTGAAGTAGAGCTCAGGCCCGTGACTCACTTTACTGAAGTAGAGCTCAGGCCCGTGACTCACTTTACTGAAGTAGAGCTCAGGCCCGTGACTCACTTTACCCGTGACTCACTTTACCCGTGACTCACTTTACTGAAGTAGAGCTCAGGTGCGGTGTTGTCGCCCTGTAGGTGCGTGGGCGTCGCGTGCGTCCTGCGCGTCATCTCAACGTCTTCGCTGCTCTGCACGACATGTACAAATTATTGCATGACTCGCTTAATGATAAATACAGTAACTAGTTATCACATGACTAAGAAGAAGTTAAATACAGCAATTAAGAAATAATTAGAAGTTGAATACAGCAATGAAGAGGTAATTAGAAGTTAAATACAGCAATGAAGAGGTAATTAGAAGTTGAATACAGCAATGAAGAGGTAATTAGAAGTTGAATACAGCAATTAAGTTATCACATGACTCACTTAATGATAAATACAGCAATTAGGTTATCACATGACTGACATAGGAGATAGATGCAGCAATTAAATTATCACATGACAAAATCTTAATATTAATTGGATTGTTCCCCTGAAAATAAAATATTATACTATTTGTAACAGACAAAGTTCTAAATCGCGATGTCATGGAGCTCTTCAAGAAGTATCAAATGGTATGTGGTTGTTATCACGTGGTTGGCTATTAAAAATATACTCGCACGTTACGGAACATTACTTCTTGAGACAGCCTCTTGGAACATACAAGATTGCATGCTTAATACTGTACCCTACTAGCTAGTTAGCTTCACATTGCCCGGGCTTGATAATTTTTGAGATTTTGTAATTGTGTTATCCCAAATCTAATCATTCTTAATCCTATTATCAACAATAAAGCTTATAAACCTAATTAAATAGTTGTATTGCTTCATTAAATAATTGAATAGTTTTTTCAATTTTTGACCCAATCCATTGCTCCAATTCTTTCCTAATCTACCACTTACAATGAGTTTGCACGTCCAGGTAAAATATAGCGCCCATAAAGGCCCTATAAATTTATGATGCCAGCTTTCAAACATACAAAATTCAACAAATATATATAGGTAGGTACTAATAATGTTAGGGACTTATAAAGCCAATTAATTTAAGCAAAAGCCACAGAAATTGCAGTAGACTGACAGCGACTATCTTATCCTTGAGTTGGTTAACGCGTTGCTGCAGACCAGCCTGCGCAGTACTGAGCTGCGTCACGAGGCTGCGTAGCTTGACGCAGTCTTCCCCCAGCTTGAGGAACGCTGTGGCGCTCTGCTGCAGGTTAGCCTCACTTGCTGCCTTCTCCTGGCTCTTGAAGCTCCTGGGGGGACATGGGGGTCAGGGCGGGACATGGGGGGCGCAGGGAACTGACTGACAATGCATTAGGAATAATAACTCTAACAACCATACATGTGAATATCTATTGAGCTCTGCATGACTGACAATGCATTAAGTATAACGACTCTTTACAACCATTAATATAAATATCTATCAAGCTCTGCAGCAGGCATCAGTTGTAAAAATAATATTGATTTTTACACGACTACCTATATACGAATGTAAAATGCATGGATGACATTGGATGTGTTTTGATACATTGAAAATTATTTCAGTAAGTAATCAGAGAAACAAGAATACTTCTACAATACTGAATATTCACTGAAATGCAGCTCAAGTAAGTATTAATTATCAATAGAACTGAGTAAATAAACAGAACTGAGTCAAACAGAACTGAATCAATAATTGAGTCAATAAACAGAACTGAGTCAATAAATAGAACTGAGTCAATAAACAGAACTGAGTCAATAAACAGAATTGAGTCAATTAACATAACTGAGTCAATACCTCAAATACAGCTCAACTAAGCATTGAGTATTAATACTCAACTACTCAATACTCACTTAAATGTAACTCAAGTAAGTATTGAGTATCAATACTGAACTACTCAATACTCACTCAAATGCAGCGATGGTGGCAAAGATGTCTTGTGGCAGCGGCGTCTCCTTGCAACTTCTGCCTTCTGCTGAGCTCCCTGCAGCCTCCCCTGCTGGAATATTAACTAAATATTATACTTCACTACTCCTAATATTATACTTCACTACTCCTAATATTATACTTCACTACTCCTAATATTATACTTCACTACTCCTAATATTATACTTCAGTACTCCTGATATTATACTTCACTACTCCTAATATTGTACTTCACTACTCCTAATATTATACTTCACTACTCCTGATATTATACTTCACTACTCCTAATATTATACTTCACTACTCCTAATATTGTACTTCACTACTCCTAATATTATACTTCACTACTCCTAATATTGTACTTCACTACTCCTAATATTGCACTTTACTACTCCTAATATTATACTTCACTACTCCTAATATTTTGTACTTCACTACTCCTAATATTGTACTTCACTACTCCTAATATTGTACTTCACTACTCCTAATATTGTACTTCACTACTCCTAATATTATACTTCACTACTCCTGATATTATACTTCACTACTCCTAATATTGTACTTCACTACTCCTGATATTATACTTCACTACTCCTAATATTGTACTTCACTACTCCTAATATTGCATGAACAATACTTGCACTTGGCCTGTCGGAATTTTGAGAGAATATTATTCTTTTCTATTTAAAATATTAAGTGAATATTAGACCTTGCTAAACTAAGTCTTGGATGATAAATACAAGTACGTAACCTGTCCAAATATTAGGTGAAAAACAATTAAACAATTAATTTTTAGATTTCACTTGGCCATCTAAATTTTAACTGCTGGCGTAAATTAGATGTAAAATTTAGCATTCAACCCATTTGTAAGTGGACATATAAATATGCAGAAATTCAGAGTAAAATGATGCATGTGGAATAGAATGAGTTAAACTTCACTTATGGATGAATTCATTCTCTGTATTAAGCTCAATAATACAGAACAGCTGTGGAATTACTTCATCAACTATAGATACTATAGATTGACTTGCAATGACTAAAGTTTCCTTAAACACTGAAATTAATAAAAAAATTTCACATCAACCAACTAGTAAACAGCAAAAATTTACAGTAAAAGCTTCACTCAAGAATTTTCAGGTCCCTCATCTGAACGGGAAAAATTGTACTGTACCGTACCAATAAACTGACGAATGAGTTCTAGTTTATCAGGTAGCTATTACGACTTACAAAAGTGAGTCAATAAATAGAACTGAGTTAATAGATGGAACTGAGTCAATAAATTGAACTGAGTCAATAAACAGAACTGAGTCAATAAATAGAACTTAGTCAATAGATAGAACTGAGTCAATAAACAGAACAGAGTCAACAAACAGAACTGACCTACAGACGTAGCAGGGGGCTGGGCCCCCCCAAGCCCAAGGGAGGGGGCGCCCCCCAGGCCGAGGGAGAGACTCCCTGTGGAGGAGGTGACCGCGGCACCGCCGAGACCTGGCATGACATCAATACAATTATTTTAACTGCATAATTATAATTATTTAAAATGATTAAAGGAAATGTAAGTTTCCTCTTGAACAAAAAATGCAAGGTAGTTTTAACTGCAAAACTTTAATTATTTAAAATGATGAAAGGAAATGGAAGTATCTTCCTGAACTAAAATGCATAGATAGAACAGGCACTCGAGCTACACAAGCATTTATATGCTTAAGAAAATCTTCTGCGCTACTGACAGGCAGTCTGTCATTTTACCCTAAACGTAGACGCCTACCAAGAATGTAACTTGTACAGTAGTAGAGCCTTATGGATATGAATGAGAATTTATCTTCAGAGACAAACAATAACAAATAACAATTTCCCAAATTAACAAAACCGAATTAACAAAACCCCGAAAAACCCATATTCTATGGTTTTCAAACCATGGGTTTGGCTTTAAAACCCCGAAAAAACCATATTCTATGGTTTTCAAACCATGGGTTTGGCTTTAAAACCCTTATTCTATGGTTTTCAAACCATGGAACCCTTATTCTATGGTACCGTATTCAAAATCATAACCCTATAAAGACGGCTCACAATGCATTGGTAGTCAAGTGCATGAGACCTTTGGCCCCAAAAACTTTCATTACCTTACCATAATAATATGCTGCACATATGCATAAATGGTACCAGAAAGTTCTTTATCAAATTTATTGGGGCAAAAATTTATCTTTGAAGATGAATTTTTCATTGTGTTAGCTTATAGTAAATGACTTTTGGGGTGCATTACGTAATATTTAAATTCATTTTAGAAATTAGATCAAACATAGAGACAATATCTCTTAGGAGTTTTTTAACACAATAAGTATAATGAATCTCACCACCAAAACTGAAGGGTGCTGCAGCATTTGAGGCAGCAGGTGCAGAAGACACAGATGCACTGCCGAAAGAAATACCCCCTAAGCTTGCTGTGCTCGTGGCTGTGTTGGTTTGACCTCCAAAAGTAAAGCCACCAAGACCACTAGAAGTTGTTGTGGTAGCCGGATTCCCAAGAGAAAAACCTGATGCAGAAGATGTCCCAAGTGCTGCTTGGCCTACTGATCCAAAACCTGTAAAACTTGTGGATGTGGTGGCAGCAGTAGAGGAAGTACCTGCCAAATATAAGTTATACTAGACATATACTTTATGAGCCCAACACATTATATTATAGCTAGTTATATTAGACACATATGCTTTATGAGCCCAACACATTAAATTATAGTTAGTTATATTAGACACATATTGTTTATGAGCCAACACACCCAAAACATTATATTATAGTTATATTAGACACATACTATGCTTAAGAGCCCAACACATTATATTATAGTTCAAACAAGATTATATGTGAGAAGTGGTCTGTATACTGAAATAGTAACCTGGTATGAATGACAACCCAAAATGAGTGTTGGGAAGAGCTTTCACTCTATATTTTCTGATCTTGCCATTCTGTCTGCCAACCCTATGCTTCAATTGTAATTTAATTTAGCACTGCAATCATTGCATGGCTGCTATGATCTCTATCTTATTCTCTGAGAACTAGAATTGGAGGTCCCATTGCAGATTTCATTAAGCCTATCTTAGGGAATTTAACATTGAGATTTTACATTCATTCAAAGATTGATGATTTCTCTTGCACCAAGTGAGACAGGGAAAAATGTTGCACACAGAAGAATATTAAACACAGGGAAGTTCCATGGCGGCTATCATGAGACTTCTTCATGAAACAGGTAATACGTACTATTATCATGCATATGATATATAATGAATGAAACATCGGAGCTGTTCAAGATGAAAATTCGGCAAAAAAAAATACTTTCAGAAATGAATACCTAAATAGTAATTTAAAGTCCAGTGAGAGCTACAAACCAGCAAGTAGTGGATTTGGAGTAGTGGTGGAGCTTCCAAAATTCAGTCCGCCAACAGTTCCAAAACCAGCCGATGTCTGGGGCTGGGACACTGGTTGGCCTAACTGAAAGCCACCCCCAGATGCACTTGTTGCTGAAAACGACAAACTTTAAAGTCATGCTGGAGTCATCAGCTACACATGTAATAAAAAAAGCCTATTCTATATTTTTCATGTTTTAAAGCACCTTTAGAACTGATTAACATCAATAACCAAGTAAATGAGCCCCAAGCCCCATTGACAGTGGAAAAAGGAAATTTCCTATAGTATTGAAATCAGTGGATTTAGATTCCATATATATATATATATATATATATATGGATGAACAATTGTGACATTGAACAGCCGTTTCTACTACCCCCTGAGACAAGCTAACAACCAGACCAGGTCTCAAAGCATTACAAACAAGCAACTTCATCTCAAAATTGTCGATGAATTTAACAGGCTTCGTGAAAACATCATCAAACACCAAACTAAACGCGAAAATGGCCCTCGCAAAAACTCGGGAGTTGTCCGAGAGGCCGTTGTGGTCTATAAATTTTGCTTCAAAGAAGGTTGTAGACTTCTTCATCTTTTGGACTACTTCGGACACTTTGGATCAACAACCAAGACACTGAGACGCTCTCTCATTAGCTACCTCCAACCCGGAGGGCAAATGAACCACACGCGACAATCTCACAACCAGACCGTCACTCGCTTTGTGCTGAAGGAACCCACCAGCATTGTCATCAAGCAGTGACCTAACATCAATCGACCGAAGATGGCTAGCCTCATCATCTTTACGAATTGGATGCCTGCTACCTCTTTCTTAACTACCAGATTTGCCTGAACTTTGAAATGATTTTCAGAGTGATTTTTTTATTCAAAATTTTACTATGGTATCTTATTTACATATATTATGTACTTATTTCCAACAGAATTTCAATATTTAATGCTCTTTGTAACTTGAAAATGAATGTTTGTTACATTCGAAACGTCGTTAATAAACTAAAACTACTTCTTGATATATGCCTTTCGACCTACCAACGTCATCTGAAGAATTGTCCGACTCTTTGATAATTTAAATCAATTTATTCTCTGGTCGTTAATTGCACGCATACAAATCAACAAATTCTGCCATCTCAAACTAATATATATATATATATATATATATAGTTATAGTTCCACTTTACCGGACTTTAATTAATTTTTTTTCTAAATTGCAAAAAATATATAAAAAAAACTTGACCTGGCTGGACCTAACCTCAGTAAAACGGTCTCTAGCAACCTAAAGAAGGGTTTTAGACACTTCAAACCCTAACTATATATATAATAATTCATTCATTTCAGATTCATTCATTTTAGATAGCCTAGCTTTAATTAAGGGCCAAATTATAAATTCATCACTTCACCAATTTTGCTCCTATAAAAAATTTCAAGCTATTTAATTTTTTCATGAACTACCGGTATATCCATTTTTTGACCATAGGTACATGAATAACCCTTTTAATAATGCTAACTAGTTTATAATGCAGCAAGTTTTCTGCTAAATCTTTAATCTTGCCCTTAAAATTTCAATTAATATATTATTAATCATTTTAACAGCAATTAATTAAGTGATAAGACGTATAAGAAATAATTTTTGGCTTTGTCTAAGTTATGACATCCTTTCAACAGCTGTAAGCAAAGTAGGTAGCCTATCTGAAATGACTAACTGCCAATAAAAACATATTGGGCTAGAAAATTTTAACAGGAGTCAGGAGTGTGATAATGAATAGCAAATATCAAAAATTTCTTCAAATTTAGCAGTAAAAAAAACAGGGATGGCTTGGAGATTATAAATTCAATAAATTTCTTTTAAAAGCCCATTATTTAATGTGCAAGTAAAATTTATCCAGATTAGTATACCAGTAACAATGTTTGAGGTTCTAGCATTGAGCTGTCAATATAGTGATCTACAGCCGGCTGAGCCGGGCAACAGCCCTATATCTTCTGCTGCCTCTAGGCTCTAGCCTATCTGCCTATGTGACTATGTCATTGGGTAAAACGCTTTATTTTTCTACAACAAAGGCATGATATAAACCCATCCATATTTCAATTTAAAAATATTACTAATAGGCCTTAAATTTGGACAAAAAAATATATTTCAGCAAATCGGCTGAATCAGAACATCAGGCATTTTCTTTGCTTTCAAATTCTTTGTAAATGTACTTAATTATAGCCAATCTAGACACATGAAAAAATTTATACAATAACAACTCAACAAGCCTCTATTCTACCGAGTCCATTCAGAAACACAACTAAAATCTTAATAGCAAAATGAAAATACGATGCACACACTCACAGACACAGTGACACTGCACACATTATCATATATATGACAGAGTATCAGTAACTATATGATATGACGTTCACCTTGTGTAGAGTTTGACCCGAAGCTAAAATTTGGCGTCCCAGTAGACGCCGAAGTAGTGGAAGTGTTATTAGACCCAATCCCAAAATTAATCATTTTATAAAATTATGATATATTATAACAAAAGGTTGCTTGCATTCGCGCATACACTCGCGGCCGCGGGATTGTATCGTCTCAAAATTGAACTTGTTCTGGAGTGAGTGGAGTCACATTCACTCAAGATAACTTGTAACGTCGGTAAGTACCTACCACGAGCAAGCAAATGCAATGCTAACTCACATCAGTCACATGTATTGCGAAAAAATCAACGTTTAAGATTTGAGGCAAGCTGCTCACTGTCTGTTCTAAAATTATAATTTATTGCGTAAAAATTGAAATAATCGATCCTGGATAAATAGACTTAAGCAGCAATATTTTGAGTCAGGCACTAGGTCTATTGCAATTAATGTGCAGCTATTCGAATTCACGCTTTGGATAGGGAAATATGAAAAACGTATAGCGAGCAAATGAATCATTCAAGAAAATTAGCCATATTGCACTGTTTTCTATACATAAAGTTTGTTAACTAGTTGTTGCGTATATTAGTCAGTTTCGAAATACTTTGCTTGTATGCAGTTCATGCATGATTGATTTGTATAAATCTAACGTAAATGCATCGCATTCGCAATTGCACTCTTTTCGCATGTATTTAGATCCTTTACTTATTTTTTCAAGAAGTTCACAGATGATTTTCATACGAGGATCTGGCACTTTGTTTGATAGTAGACTTGGCAACGTTGCGATGAGCCAGTCGTGTTGGCTGCCATATTCGAGGTGGATGTCATACGTTATCTCTGTGAATTTGAAATATTTTTGAGAAGAAAAATCCATGCAAGAAACTTGGTTAAATATTTTATTGGAAGTAGAAAATTCACAGTGTATTTCAGAAGGCATTGAAGTGTGAAATAATTTCCCTAAGTCTTTTAATCATCTGAGTGACACAGTAAATCGGCACGAGTAGGGACCGTATCCATGTTTTGATGATACATTCGAAATGTGTTAAATTTGTTCAAATAATAGCAACAAAATTTAATTAGATGATTTAAATTACGTTTTTATGTTCGAAAGAATCCTCATTATTATTTTTTTAAGTCGAAATGTGGATGGTTTCTTAGCAGTGTTTTGACCCTTTCGGGCGAGTCCATTATGAAGAAGAGGGGAAGGAACTTCCACCATCATGTGTTTCGAACGTAAACAAACACCCAAATCTTTCTGTCAGCTGCCTCTGTGTTGCACCTGATATGTTTGAAAGTATAAATGAAACAAATGACCGAACATTTTTATAATATACCATTTGGTACCACCATTTCTAAACCTGGCTAAAACACTGAGATTAAACTCTGGCTGTTCTCGTTGCCAGACCACTGGAAATTTGACATACCCTGCTAGATTTTGAATGTTGGAGGCCAACAGCCTTCGGCCCTTCAACCAGTGCATGATTTTGGTGGAACCAAGTTTTTACTGCTGCTTTAATATTTTATGCTAACTGCTTTATGAAAATGAACTTTTTTAAATGAAAATATATACTAAATTGGAACAACTTCAAGTCTTCAACTAAAATTTCAAAACAACATAATTTTTTGAAATCTCCACTTTTCAAGAATCATTTTAAGTGAAAATTTTTATCCCAGAATACAATTGATGGGAATTGTGCAATAATGTGTAGGGTTTAAACTGCAAGTTAGTGCTTGCCCAACAATGTCATTAGAATGTGTTTTGGGTGGATGTGGCAATGGTTTTGGTGACTGCCGGTGACGAGCAAAGCAATTGCAATAGTGGAGCTGACACAGGGAGCATCACTTCTAATCCTAGTGCTGGAGGTGACGGCATGGAGAAAGCTTGGGGTGTGACTGTTGCGCCACCACCACAGCAACACAAGCGTCCTGATCCGGCTCCTTGGCACAAACATGACCTCACTGAAAAGGAGAGAGCTAAGCAATTACGTAAGTTTTTGCTTATATGCCTTTTAAAATATTTTTCATATTCCTCATTGATGCGTTTATTTTTACTTGTTCCATATCATAATGGACATCAAATATGGAATATTATACAGAATTTTTCAAAAAACATGGTTTAAAATGATCATTTCCCTAGACAATATCAGGCAAAATGTGCTGTTTTTTCTAATTTTTACAAAATAAATGCGGTAAGGGCTATAGAAGCACCGTTTTGAAAATTTGGTTGAAGTCACCCATATAAGAGACAAAAAGTTCAGTGTTTGTATTTCATTTCACCTCTATTTATGGCCTTTGCCTAATTTCTCTCATGAAATATTACTAAAACGGGCCAATTTTAATCCAATGTGCCGCCTGATATTCCAGATTAAAAGCAGCAGGTGTATTGTCTGCCTGAATATATGTTTTTGTCTCTTCATGACTGGCTTCAAGAAATGGCATATGAAAATTTTCTAAAATTGGAGCAACTTTAGGTCAATAAAATGAAATGCTTCATCACAATGAAATGCTTTAACTTTAGGTCAATATAAAGTCCTGCTGCTCTAAATATATATATTAGTATAGGTTTGCAGAATTTGTTGTTTTAGGCAGGTTTCATTAAAGACCAGAGAATTTGTTTTATTGACAATCTTCTTATTAGTTGTCTCAACATAGCAATCGATATTTATCGTTTGCACAGGTAAATTGAAAATAAGGGTACTGATGGCTTTTTTTATTTTGTTAACAATGTTTCAAATGTTTCAATGGTTCATCATCAAGTTACGAGGTGCATTGAGTAATGAAATTTGGATTGACATATGTACAAAATCATGTTAATAAGATACTACTCAAAAAACAGTATTGTTAGAAATAATGCCTAGTCACGAAATATTTTAAAAGCTCTTGTTATTAAGCATTATATTTAACCAATTCTGTTCTAGTTGCACTAAACATGTTAAACCCAATCTTAAATGTTGATTTTAACAGTTGGCAAATCTAGACAGATTGTTAGATTTTTTCCAGATTGCCGGCAAAATGATCATTTTGTTAGTATTTATTCCAAATTGTGACTGAAAATGAGTTCTATTTTCTTGATTTCAATGACAGAAATCAGGAAGAGCATAGGCATGAGTGAAATTTATGCCATTTAGTTCAATTGCAAGTGACTTTGGCTTAGCTATATTTTCCAGTTTAGCTCAAAACTCTTACTGTTAATAAAGTTTTGCATGCATTGCAATTATTTCTTATGTGAAAAAAATTTATTTAATTTACTATGACAAATAATTCTTGCAAGATAACTTTCCGCTGATGATTTTAAAATTTAATTGACAGCTGCAGGATGAGACTAGTGGCAGGGTGGAATTTTATGTATAGTATCAGATGCATTTTTATCAAGTTGATTAGTATGGTATGGCTGTCTCAGTGCAAAATGGCTATTGTTGTACTCAAAAACTGGTCCTCATGGTTTTGCATGAAAATATCGTTAGAAGATATTAAAATAACTCTTTCATTCCCATGTCATCTCTACTGGTTTGCACATTTGTGTACTTTCTAGAATTCACCCCCTGGCTAGTGGCAATGGCTTTCTCAGGGTTATTTGCTCCTATGTAAATCCTATTAAAATTTGCATTCAGGAAAAAGACTTGATATACATTCTGATATGTTAATTCTATTACATTGCATATATAGATACCATTTAATTTTTCATAGTTAAACTGACAAGCCAAGAGTCAACTGTTTTGTCTCTAACTACTTTATTCTGCTTACATATACCAATCACCCATCATGGGGCATCTGTGTAATGTTTGGTATGGCAACTCATTTCCTCCTGTATGTTGTGTGCCCAGGCATCTGTGTATTGTGTGGCACCTCAATTCCTCCTGTATGTTGTGTGCCCCAGCATCTGTGTATTGTGTGGCACCTCATTTCCTCCTGTATATTGTGTGCCCCAGCATCTGTGTGTTGTCTGGCATCTCATTTCTTCCTGTATTTTGTGTGCCCCAGCATCTGTATATTGTGTGGCAACTCATTTCTTCCTATACATGTTCATAATCAAGTTACTGATGCCTTGTGTGTGTGTGCAGGAGAGCTCAATGCTAGTGGGGGTCCGGGCCCCATCAGTGGAAGTGGCGCAGGGGGAGCCGCGGGAGGTTTGGTTCGACCAGTGGTTGGTATGGGGGCCCCAACATCAAATATGGGGGGAGCCTCTGGCCCAGTGCAGCCGCCTGGAGCTCCGGGACAAGTGGTGCTCTACGGCAAGTTGTGTGGGGAAGAGGACCTGGTGCTGTGGGAGCAACATGTTGCTGCTGCTGCAGCACAGCATCACCACAGCACTGCACACTCCTCACAGCATCATCACCACCATAACACACGCACAGGTCACACATATATAATACTATATCAGCATAGCTCATAAATATATATGAATCTATATATCTGCAGTGCTGGTCATGCATATATTTATGAATATTTTAGTAACATTAAAATTGCCTTGCCAATCTTTTGGTAGGGCTTTATTATTACCAACTTGATATCATTTATCTAGACTAGCTCAATCTACTGCACAAATTTATTTCTTGCATTATTCACAATATTATTGCATGTAGTGGTGAATACAGTGCATCATTATGTTATTTCTTTGATATATATATTTTATTTTGATTGCATTCAAAGATATTTCATTGCATAACATCTTTTTCTTAACTTATGCTAGGCCAAAAATAATTTTTTTTGCACTACAATGCTAAAGAAAAATATTCTTAATTGTTATTTTACTTTTCATTTATACCAGCTTGCATTTGTTGAATGAAATGAGTTCATCCATTAAAGTTTTAAAGTTGGAATAGATATGTGTAGGTATTGGATTTGGTTGCAACAATTGAAGCAGGCAAGTAGAATATTATGTGTCACATGATATTTGATGGTTGCTCTGAAATGTAATGGCTGTGATCTCCTACAGAACGCCTGTACAGAGAACCAGCCACTGGTCCCCTTAGGAAGCTGTCTGTTGACCTCATCAAGACCTACAAGCACATTAACGAGGTGAGGAATGGGCCAGGTATTGTGAGCACATTAACGAGGTGAGGGATGGGCCAGGTATTGTGAGCACATTAATGAGGTGAGGGATGGGCCGGGTATTGTGAGCACATTAATGAGGTGAGGGATGGGCCAGGTATTGTGAGCACATAAAGGTTGAGATATTTCCTCAAATAATCCTGGAATCACGGGGGTGTATAGAGTCACTCAAGTTTGTGAGCAATGTAAATTTTAAAAGAAACCATAAGAATTACCTACCTACTGTATTTTTGGTGTGCCATGCAAGCTAGTAAGATCATCATTTATTCCAACTCAAACCTTTAGTATTTTTGGGATAACCCTATATTGCATTGCAGCCAAAAGATGTGTTTCGCGGAATACCGTATATGATTTACACCACTTCCCTGAACCGTTCAATCTACATAGAATCGTTCATAGCATCGTATTTAACATCCTATAAATGCTCTTTTTGCTCTTAGAGGAGTTGTTCCTAGGGGGATTGTTCCTGAGCGCCCCATCGCTGAGCTCGCGGTGTCTGACTGCAAGTCTCAGTTGTGGGGTTAAGTTATTATGTAGGTAGGATACCTTACATTAAGTTATTATGTAGGTAGGATTCCTTACATTAAGTTATTATGTAGGTAGGATTCAGTAGGATTCCTTACATTAAGTTATTATGTAGGTATGATTCCTTACATTTCCCTTCTCTCTCGTGCGGGTGGCCGACGTCCCGTGTAAGCGGCCTCTTGTTCGAGTGTCTTCGTTTCTGTTGCTTTTCACCTGTCCCTCCTTGTCACTTCGTCTCTTTGAGATACTAACGCTGCTTCTTTCGAGCCAGCTTCTGCGGGCTGGACATCTGAGACCTTCCACCTCTTGTGGGTGATGAATAATTGAGACCTTCCACCTATTTGGTGATGTTAAACATGACTTTCGGTGCGAGATAGCTAAATAGCTGAAGCGCTAGTAAACATGTGACCACTTAACTAACTAACCTCTTAGAGGAGTTGTTTATTATCTTCTTGAGTTTGTCAGTAATTACATGCTTATTTGATTCAACCCTACAGCACACAATATAATCATGACAAACACTGGCGTCTCATTGTGTAACTTGCGGCATATTTTTTATGCCAGACATGAAAGTTTTGAGTTTTGTATGGTTTGGAAAGTCCATGGTCTACTGGTTGTAGATATTGGGAGTTTTTTTCAATGACGTTTATGAATGCTGAAAATGTGATTAGCGCTACTAATGCCTGTGGCGTTAGTTACCACAATACCTTGACATCAATAATAACATTAGTTTCAGTTGTCATGTGTTTTAAATGACGCATAAACCAAACCTCTGCCGCGTCTAAATAATAGTAGCATAATATAAAAGAAAATATCTTAAATATTATCTTGAGGTTAATAATATGTCAGTTTTATTACACAAAGAAGCAGCAAGTGGGGCAGATGCCCGCCACTAGTAAATAATAGGAAAAATGTTGTAGTATTAATAATAATAATTACATGAATAATGGCTTGAGAATAATTTTTCAGGTTTATTACGCGAAGAAGAAGCGACGTGCGGTGCAGACGCAGGGCCAGAGCCCTGGTGGGGCGCAGCACAAGAAGGAGAGGAAAGTCTACAATGACGGCTACGACGATGACAACCACGACTACATCATCAAGGCTGGCGAGAAGTTCGAGGGCAGATACGAGATAGACTCCTTGATAGGCAAAGGCTCCTTTGGTCAGGTGAGCAGCTCTACTCCTTGATAGGCAAAGGCTCCTTTGGTCAGGTTTGGCTCAACATCCATACTTGTAAGAATAAAGGGTAGACAAATCCTTGAAATAGCCTATTTATTATTGTTGCTCCTTCCTTGCTGTGTAAGTACAGTGCAATTTTATCGTCCAGTTATTATTGCATGGAAATATGTTCATCAATTAGCTAATAATTCCATAGTAGTCAGGAATTATTTTGAGATGTTTATTGGCGTAGCTAATAATATATGACTGTAACAGTGATTACCATTACCATGTAGTTATAATTACCTGCTGGTAACTGTTACCCTGTTGTGTGCAGGTGGTGAAGTCATACGACCACGAGGAGCACAGCTGGGTCGCTATTAAGATAATTAAGAATAAGAAGCCCTTTTTAAACCAGGCCCAAATAGAAGTTAAACTCCTCGAGATGATGAACAGAGCTGACTCCGACAACAAATATTATATTGGTAAGTAAATTTGCTTATTGTGTTGAATATGCAGGGATGGGTTACACAAAATAAGGGAAACACTAGAGATAACCAATAAGTATATTTTAGTTTGGTGTAGGCACACCTTTTGCGGCAATTACAGCCTCAATTCTACGAGCAGCTCAATTCTAGCTGCTCCAGCTACCTCGAGCTACGAGCAGCTCAATTCTACGAGGTATTGATTCGTACAAATTGTGAATTGTTTCCAAAGGAATTTTAACACATTATTCAGTTGAAACTCTCCATATTTCTTTTAACGACGATGGTGGCGGGAATCGACTTCTGACTTGCATCAATAAAATCGACCATAAATTTGCAATAATATTCAGGTCTGGTGATTATGGTGGCCAAATGAGATAATGGTGGCTTGACTTCAGTAGAATGTTATTCGTGCCTTTTTTAACAATTTCAGCTGTATGGATCAAGACATTATCATCTTGAAAGATGGCGTTCCCCTCAGGAAACGTTACTTGAACCATAGGATGAACTTGGTCCTCCAAAATTCCTAAATAATCACGGCTGTTGATTATTCCATGAATAGAAATCATTGGTCCGCCGGATTTCCAAGAAATTGCACCTCAGATCATCACAGATCCCCTGCCATTTTTTACGGTTGGGGGGAGGCCCGAGGCAGTCGGTATTAAATGATTCATTTGGCTGTCTCCAAACGTAAACTCGGCCAGTTGTTGGCGGCAATAAGGTAAACGATGATTCGTCAGAGAAAATTACATTTTCCCACTGTTTGAGGGACCAATTCTGGAGGTTTTTACACCGCTATAAACACTTTGAAGCATTTGTATGTGAAACCAGAGGTGTTCCAATTGCAGCTCTTCCATAGAATCCAGATCTGTGAAGCTCTCGTGTGACAGTCTTAAATGGAAACTGGGTTCTGTAGGCGTTCATTTAGGCTTGCAGTAATTTTAACAGCCGTGGTCTTTCGATTGTCCCCTCATAATTCGATTTAGGCACCGACGGTCTCTCTCAGACTACTTCAACTTTCGGCCAGACTTGGGCTTTGCTGAGGAAGTTTCTCCTCCTCTTTCAAAAACAGTCATTACTATGAAACAGTACCTCAAGAAACGTCAAGCATTCGGGAAGTTTCTGTCACACTAGCGCCTGCCATACGGACACCAATAATTTGGCTTGTCTGAAAGTCAGAGAGATTTGCCATTTATCGGTTAGGTTAGGTTCTAGACACAAAAGTTCGTTGCAAATTATGCAGTTCGAGATTAGTCGTTGTTGACAAGTGAGAGAAGAAAAGACGATACTTCATTGTATGCTTTTCGCCCAAAACCCGTCTTCCCATCGTATGGAATATGGGAATACTGGACATGTCCAGTATTGCTGGCATGTCTGCAATACTGGACATGTCCAGTATTGCGCATTTGTCTTACCCACTTATACATTATGCATTGTGATGTAAAGAAAGAAGTTTTTGCAATCAAATGGTTTTTACTCGTTTTCTTCAATACAATTTACACTAGAAACGGTACGTTTCATCATTAATTTCTTGTGTAGGATGTTACAATCATGGAAGAATTTAAGCTATGGCAAAAATATCATGAAAAATTTTCCTTACTTTTAAAAATGTTCAATTCATGATTCCATCATGATGATCCTTGTTTTGGTTGTGGTGAATCACAAATTGTTTGGATCAAACCATTAAGAAATTGTCAGTGAAAAGTGTTGCTCCACAATTTTTAGTTTATCGCGTCTCGGTTTTGTATTAACGTCTAGATTTCATAATGACATGTTGTGTGGACGCAATTGCAAAGGCCACATCATTTAAAATTGCCGTGTCCTACTGGAGCCTTATATTTTGTGAAGATTTTTGTTGTTTCTGGCATATATATTTTCATACGAGTTCATTACTCAAGTTTGTATTAGATCCCATCATGAGTTGCATAGTCTTCTGAATATGTACTCGGTGTGGGAGTTGACTGGCTTGCTTATGCTGAGCCTTGTTAAATATATTTGTAAACTAAAAGCTCTGTGTGTTTACAGTACGTCTGAAGCGGCACTTCATGTGGCGCAACCACTTGTGCCTGGTGTTTGAACTTCTCTCCTACAACCTCTACGATCTTTTACGCAACACAAACTTTCGGGGAGTTTCCTTGAACTTGACGAGGAAGTTTGCACAGCAACTCTGCACAGCTTTACTCTACCTCTCCACGCCTGAGCTTCAGATAATTCACTGCGACCTGAAGCCCGAGAACATCCTCCTCTGCAACCCCAAGCGCAGTGCCATCAAAATAGTTGACTTCGGTTCCAGCTGTCAGATGGGACAGAGGGTGAGTGTTGCCAGCTGTCAGATGGTAGAGGGTGAGTGTTGCCAGCTGTCAGATGGGGCAGAGGGTGAATGTTGCCAGCTGTCAGATGGGACAGAGGNTGCCCCTCTTCTCTGGCGCCAATGAGGTATTTAAAGCCCCTCTTCTCTGGCGCCAATGAGGTATTTAATGCCCCTCTTCTCTGGCGCCAATGAGGTACTTATGACTAATTGTCCAATTATATCGGTGAATATCTATTTAAACAGTTTTGCCGAACTACGTAAAACCACAAAACTCTTGAGTAGAAATGAACGCTGGGAGCAGTCAATGAACACGTCAGAGATAGCATTCTATATCACTCTGTGGGTATCTAAACTGTTTGGGAGCTTTAGTTGAAGCATTTAAATTGCTGAAGCTTGTGCTTGATCAGTCTATGAAAATATTTCTGTACGATTCTCATGAACTATGTTTAATTTGAAAGTTTTGTGGTTACAAAACTGCGTTTAAGTATAAATATATTGTGTTTGTGGGTGTAAAATTCATACAAATATTTTTTCTAATTAACTTTTACCGTCATATTGGGTGTAGAATTTCTAAAGTGCCACCGTTCGCAGGTTGACCAAATGAACAAGATTGTTGAGGTGTTGGGCATTCCCCCGAAACACATCCTGGACATGGCAACCAAGACTCGGAGGTACTTCGACAAGCTCCCCGACGGCTCCTATGTTCTCCGTAAACCCAAAGACGGCAAGAAATACAGGCAGCCTTTGACGCGACGTCTGCGGGACATCATCGGTGTTGAGACAGGCGGGCCTGGAGGCCGGAGACTCAATGAGCCGGGACACAGTGTGTCCGACTACCTCAAGTTCGAGGACCTTATCAAGAAGATGCTAGATTTTGACCCCAAGACGAGAATAACTCCGTACTACGGACTGCAGCACAACTTCTTCAAACGCACCACAGACGAGAGCACCAACACCAGTAATTCCACGAGTCCCGCCATTGAGCATTCTATTATTGCCTCGCCTTCTGTTGCTGTTGCTCAGCAACAACTGCAGCAAAATCAACAGCCATCACAAGCCCCTGTGCAAGTTAGCTCTCAAGCGCACCATCATCAACAAGGTCAGTTTGTCACGAGACTGGTATAATGCAGATCTTGTCTCGAGGTCAGTTTGTCACGAGACTGGTATAATGCAGATCTTGTCTCGAGGTCAGTTTGTCACGAGACTGGTATAATGCAGATCTTGTCTCGAGGCAAGTGACGTCTTCCCTTAGCTTCCATTGCCATGACAATTTCCTAGTGGCTCAAAAAAAGTTTGCGCTCATTCGCGCGGTCTGTAAATTCGTTATTTATTTCTTTTATCCAACATTTTATCTCGATTTAATCGTCAATATTCATTGACGATATTGTTTGTTTTATGTGGACAATTTCCTTCGAAAAGTTTTATTGACTTTCTCGTTAAGGGAAGAGTGAAATGTACGCGAGAAATGTTACCGTGATCTCTGTAAAAATTACCTCTAAATGGCAGGTGTTATGCGTGCAGCTGTAAATATACGTGCAGGTGCTTAGTGTCTGCTCCAAACATGAAAGTTTATTGACATGTGTCACAGATTAATATGTAATGTTCACGTCATGCCAGGTATTGACATGTAATGTTCAAGTCATGCCAGGTATTGACATGTAATGTTCACGTCATGCCAGGTATTGACATGTAATGTTCACGTCATGCCTGGTAGTGACATGTAATGTTCACGTCATGCCAGGTATTGATATTTTATATTAAAATCATCTCTTGGGTTTACGTGGTTGCGTGGAAATATCTAAAACGATTGCGACCGATAGAATTTTTTGCTTGACGTATTTATTGAAAATTGTCTTATCTCTTAAAAAGTAATAAATTTAATCAGGGAATTCACGCCTACTAATCATTTTAAACATCGTCTTGAAGACCTCGAATTATTCAAGTGATAGACGAGCAGTGAAATTGTTCAGAAACTTGAGGTAGCCATTACCCGTTTTACAGGATTTAATAATGTGGAATGTTTTCTCTTTGCAATTCACATTTGAATTGCAATTCTTTGCACAAAAGCATCTGCTTTTGTCCGCGCATTGCAAGAAGATTTCTGGTCACCCTTGTTCACAGCTGTTGATTTTGTATTTATTTTACAGTATTTTAATTTGCGTATATCATTGATGGTTTGAATGACTCATTCCGCCGAAGCAATTTAATTCTGCGATTCTGTGACGTCTACATTTCTCTGTCATGAACGACACTCAAATAAGTAGATGATTAAATTCACACACTGTACTCACGTTTGACATTTGACATTTAATTGTACTCACTGTGTGAGTAAAGCTTGACATGTTGCTGGAGACTTAGCAAGTTATGTTAACTGTGCAAGCAATGCGCTTATCTGGGTCAATTTTCTAAACTTCGCGGTTGCCTTATGTCATGTCAATACTGTAAAACCAATATTCCTGTTTATACTGGGTTTGTTCGGATATTGGTACTTCAAATTCTGTTCTGTCTTGTCAAATTTTATGTACAAGAATTAATGTTTCTGGTACTGTAATATAAAATTTGTCTGTGAGCGATAAAGATTCAATTTGTGTCATAGGTCTCGTGTAATGATTCATGATCTTCTCATTGGTTCATTTTCGTCGTTTTGGTCTACTCAGCTTTCAAGCGAAGGAATTTTCCCTCACATTCCTCAGTGGGGTTGGGAAATTACTGTCCTATGTCTAATATAAACATTGATTACATTTCAGTTCATGTCATATATTATAGAAAATATTTCACGACTTACTACAGCTAATAGGTTCGTACCAGTTATCAGACATTACAGTTTAAACAGTAGCGACAGATAAGGAGAAATAAGTCAGACTTTGTTCGAATAGCAATGCAATTTTTGATCTTGTGTGAGGTGAGTCATTTTGACCCGGTTTTAGCCGCTAAAAGAGCTTATAAGTGTACGTACGCTTCCTACTCGTGCTGTGAGTAGGGAAGGTTGCCACAATTTGAACCAAAGGACTTCTTTATTGAAGGTGTTGAAGCACTAAAATGTAAGCAGAATTTACACGCTCGAGCATCACACGAGAAATTATGTGTACGTGGCCCGAAATTCTCAACTTTACATGGTTAGGTTAAAAGTCAATTCAAGACTAAATAGAATAACCTAAAATCCGCTTTGTAATCCGTTTACTAATATTTCTAACTATGGATGAAAATATCAAAGTGACTACCTCTCACAACACCCATGTAGTGGTGCGAAGTGACATAACATTTTGTTCAGACAAATGGATGAAACTATGACTGCAATGCAGTATGAACTACTAATGGTAGTTCGTGCGATCATGAAATAACCATTCAAGGTCGGTAGGGCAGGTACAGACTATATACACTGACTGGTCGCTCTGTTCCTAGGCATTCATTTCTTTGATGTAAGAACGAAGGCCTCGTCCTAAATGGAGTGACTAAGCGACCACTCAAAGAGATGAGCGAGACTTTGTCCAAATAGCTATGCACTTCTGCACCAAATAGCGAGACAATTTTGCTCTCGTCCGGGTCATCTTAACTCAGTTTGGCTCGGCAAAAGAGCGTATCAAGGAATTTAAAAGCAAAGAAAACGCCAAGAAAATTCACCATATCGATATTGAAAACGTTTTCACGTTTTCAATATCGATATGGTGAATTTTCTTGGCGTTTTCTTTGCTTTTAAATTCCTTGTGAACTTACGATATAAGAAGAGCGTATCAGTGCTACGCTCCTTTCTCGTGCTGTGGGTAAGAAAGTGTGTCAGTATTTGGACAATGTAAGCCATTAATTTGTTTGCGAGCGTTCATGTAGTAGGGTATCGATTGCGGGTATTGCTGTGCACCGGCGCACGGGTCATCATTCTTGTTGATAGTGAGAAATTCTAGTGATATTTCTACTGTTGCCTCACATCTTATTGGTCGAGGGCATATTCAGCGACTGTACCATATTGTATTCTATGTCTTCTGCATCATATTGTGTTCTATATTGTGTTCTGCATCTCTTCAACATTATATTGTCTCATAAATCAGCAGTCTCGAAGCATGTCATTGTATAACAGCAAAGTCATGGTTCTGATAACATTCAATTGAAGCCTCATGAATTGGATAATTTCTATACGCTGTAATTGGATTGCTGAGCCATAGTTTTTTTAGTGCATTTGCTAGGTTTTCAATATTTCTGGCATTCTTTGTTTTTTGTATGGTGTTAACATCTCGAAATTTCATAAAGCGACTCTGTTACAGGGGTAAACTGAATATCAAATGAAAAGATGTTCCAGAATAGTTTACAACGTCCGTAGTAGATGCTTAACTTGTAACTCTTTTCGTATAGCTTCTAGTCATTGTTTTGTAACATTGACAAATTAATTAAAGTGATATTTTTATGAGCGTCGTTGGCACGGATTGTTTTACAATCGATCAAAGTACATTTAACGAAGAGATCTTTTATTTTAGAAGCATTACTGGTATACATCAGTTATGTTGCTGGCATACATGCCATGTTGCTGGCATACATCAGTTATGTTGACGGTTATGGCTGCCGAACGTTGATCAGTTGTGCATGAGCCATCAATCAAGTCTCATGCACAATGCAACCCAGGACATCCGCGGCTAAATATTTTATCACGTCCTCAATAAGAAGCGGGTGTACGTAGGGAAGTGTTCACACCACAGCTGTCTATTAATCGTTGGAAGCTTATGATTGACAAAATGACTTTCGATTTGAACTATAATTAATACATCCGCTATTGGTAAATTCTGATTACTTAACAAAAAGCGAGTTCTGCAAGCATTTCGGCTTCCGACATTGTGGATAAGGCTTTGATGCGAGTATTTTCCTTGGTGTGCAAGATCTGACCGTATTTGTTTACTACCTCTTACCTCAAAGTTGAGATCTACGCCGGTATTGATATTGTATAAGAACTAACTCTACTGTTAATTAGCTGTGTAACAAATGAACGCATTTTATATTACTCAAACTGTGGCGTCTGTGACCGACGTTATGTTCTAAATTATAAACATAACCCGCGTCAGAGTTAGAGGTTTACTGATGGTTCACAGTCAGTAAACCATCAGATGTCCCGGGACTTGAGTGATGTCCCGGGACTTGGATGATGTCCCGGGACTCGGATGATGTCCCGGGACTCGGATGATGTCCCGGGACTCGGATGATGTCCCGGGACTCGGATGATGTCCCGGGACTCGGGTGATGTCCCGGGACTCGGAGAATGTCCCGGGACTCGGATGATGTCCCGGGACTCGGATGATGTCCCGGGACTTGGATGATTTCCCGGGACTCGGGTTATGTCCCGGAGATTGGATGATGTCCTGGGACTCGGATGATGTTCAGGGACTCGGGTTATGTCCCGGAGATTGGATGATGTATGCAGTGCTGGTGTCCCTCTTATCCCTAGTCCCGCCATGGGCTACTCAGGTGGTTACTATTCATTATTCTCATGGTTCACACTCGGTGATGATTATAACAATTTTGATTATAATAATTATAATCTATTGTGTTGTTAGCGCTGAATATTAGTCTATGCTTGGCATGTTGCCTGCGATTCAAGCAGCTATCTGTTGGTTTCGAACCACAACTCGCTGCTTTAATTTTGGCGAACTTCACCACTCGGAAACTTTGATTAATTTGTTATTATTCTGTTTCAAATTGTTCATGATGAGATTTGCGTTCTTGGGGTTGTTGACATCGTTATTTTAATACCGACTAACCTTTGAGTTTTATGTCAAATTTTCTTGTAGGGAATAATCTTCAAATATTATCTTACGCACACATGTATCAGAACTCGTTCATTTTACTCGTCAAGCTTACACGAACTTATCAATCCAAATGAAATCGAACGAGGCTGTGATGCCTATTAATTTCTATTGCGTAATTTCTATCACAAATGCCAGCAGTATGTGTTTATGTGGCTCTCATGGTATGGGTTATGCACAATCAAATGTTCTTGATACGTATGCAAAATATTCGTTATTCGTGATACGTGACAAGAAATTTTCTACGTAAACTATTTTAGTTTAGCTGCAGCTTGATTGCTCTATTGGTTCAGAGCTACAATGTTGCAAATCTTGGATCAGATCTACAATGTTGCATCAAATACATCGCGGATCGTGCGCCTGTTTAGTGCGGTTCGTGAAGGTTCCGAGATCGTCTCGCGTTTTATGAAGAACATTCCTGCACCTGTTCAACTCCTCAGTTAATATGTATGAAACGCACTGAAATATTCGTTAAATGAAGTATTACTGTTCATGAAATTTTGTCGCTAGCAAACCATGCAGGATGTTGAAATACTCTAGCTTATAACCCCCCTTATTTATTACCTGCTGTCCCGTACCCTCAAATGACCCTACCTCCATTATTACTTAGTGTAGTTTTAACAATCGTCACTCGAGTTTCTCTAACAACTATTGCGTTTCTTTAACAATCATTTCTTAAATAAGTTGTTTCAGTGAAAATCTTCTTAGGGAAGCTTTAGAAAATTCTATCTACGACTCTAATTGTCGACATGATGCCGGCGACTGGGATGGAAACCATTTGAAAATTTTGAATACACTCGAAATAATGGCAGTGAAATTATAAAATTATACCAGTGCTGCAGTGTGAAGTATTGCTGCGGTGCTGCTCTCCCATGTGTTCAGTGGCTACGATGACACGAGGCTTTAAATGCTGCGTTTTGCATCCTGAATAACTCTTCGCAACGCCACCGACCTCCCCTTCCTTCTTCTAAAATGCGTCTGCTTTTTTAGCTCCCGAAATGTAACCTAATAAATTACGAAGTTTTTAAGTTTCCTTTGCATGAACTATAAAGTGATTATTATTATTCCGCGTTCAGTGTAAATTATTATGATCCATTATTGGTTTTAGTAGATAATTATTGTTGTTTTGTTTTATTTCTCTGTTTTTAGTAGATTGAATTATTAAGAACTGGGTAGCTGTGACCTCGTTTCTTGATGAAGATCTGCAATGTCTGCACCGTTAAATTAAACAACGTTCGTCTTGTATTCTCTCTTCTTTTATTTTTTGTCTTATTCACAAAACTGTTCATTGTCTTACACTGCAGTGTTCCTATATTTGCTCGGTGTTCGGAACATCAGCCCTTTCATTATACCACGCCACCCAAATGTTCAAAGTCTTGTGTATACTTTGTTTCATCTGGCAAATTTTAGTTTAACATAAGCTTGGTCACGTTGTGTTTTAAAACTTCTTTTTTTTACGTTATAATATTTGTGCACCTCTATTAGATTCAAATAGAATTCTTTGGAACACGACACGGCGATAAAAAATAGCACGACAACTAATTGTCGTGAAGGACGGGACATGCGGTTGAGAACTCGCCCAATTTATCGTTGTATTGCTCTTGTTCCATTTTTTTCTTATGTCCTCAAAACAAACTATTCGTTTAGTGTTTGTTTACCTACAATAATGACTGCCCAAATTGCAGCTTAAAGCTGTAATGTGTTGAATTTGAGCATTCATATCATTTTTCACTTGCCCTCTAGTGCTAAATTGCCGCTACTCCGCAAATTTAAAAATGTCCTAGAGTACGGAAACCTGATGTTTGTTAATTGCCTTTTTAATTAATTTCCCTTTTGATAATTTGAAGCTTGCTTTTTACGTACCTGCCGCTTAATTTTACCCTATTTTTAACCTACATTACTCACTTTTTTCATCGTTTTATTTATTTATTGTTTATTTTGTTTTGGTTTGTGCATTTCGCCAGGCTGCGGCAGCGGGCGTCTTCGCGGCGACGTTCCTGTGTCCCATCTCCCCATGAGCTCCTCTCACATCCACGGGCCCTCACACATCCACGGGACCTCGCACATCCATGGGACCTCCTCCTCACACATCCACGGGACCTCCCACATCCATGGATCCTCTCACATGCACGCGTCCTCTCATCTTCTCGTGGCATCCTCTTCCTCCCACATCCACGGGCCATCTTCTCACATTCACGGGTCCTCCCACATTCACGGTTCCTCCTCCCACATCCACGGGCCCTCGTCCCACATTCATGGGCCCTCCTCCTCACACATCCTCGGATCTTCTTCTCACATGCACGCCGTGAGCTCGGCTCACATGCACGGTAGTAACGCTACTCACGTGCACGGCAGTAACGCCACTCACGTGCACGGCAGTAACGCCACTCACGTGCACGGCAGTAACGCCACTCACGTGCACGGCAGTAACGCCACTCACGTGCACGGTAGTAACGCTACCTACGTGCATAGCAACAGTGCTACGCACGTGCACGGTAACACCGTGACGCATGTGCACGGGTCGTCTTCGCGTCACGTGCATCCGTACCACTCACACAGATCCCGACCTCTGGAGCCCCCCACTGCGGTGTCGCTAGCGACCCTCGACCCCCCTAACCCCAGCCTATTGTTGCTGCCTAACAGCTTACAGCACCAACAGCTGCAGCTGCAACAACACCAAATCGCTGCACCCAGTCAGCAACAACAGTCGCAGCAGCCGCAGCACGCATCCAGTAGCAGCAATAACAAGCCCCTCAATGTTACCGGCGTCAATATTAGTCAGGAGCAGAACCACGTGATAGCGGTCAGCAACAACAACGTCATGGATGCGAACAATTCTAGTAACCTTTGTAATATAATTGTCAATAGCAGTGGCGGTGATGCCACCACCATCAATGTCAATAACAGCCTCAATTTAGTTCATAATTCCTCATCAAGTCACCCAAGTTCAGCCCACACACCCAGCTCGGGGGCAGGGAACGGAGGCGCTGAGTTAACTAAGAACTGCAGTCCCATCACGGTCCAGGCCGCGCCCCACGCGTCTCCTACCGCGCCTTCTTCAGGCTCTTTACACAACCACTTTCATCAGCACCAAAAGCCTGCGGGCAGCGCCCCCAGTAAGCTTCCCTCGCACCATCTCCAGCAGCAAACGGGGACCGTGACGACCGCTGCGTCCGTGAACCGGTCCGGCGGCAACGGGACATCGTCGTTTCCGGGGGGTGGAAGACCGACACGCGCCAATGTCGCGCCCTCGAGTCCCGGAGGTAACAGCGGCAGTGGTGCTGGGGGTAACGGAGGGAGCGGCGTCGGGAGTAACGCTGGTAACGGTGCTGGGGGTAACAGTGGCGGTGTGCTGACGCGCAGTGCTGCGATGAAGCAGCACGCGGCGTTGCTGCAAGCGTCGAGTCTTGCGCTCAGCGGCAGCCTTTCCGTGACCGGCGCGCCTGCCGAAGCTCAGTCCGCCTCTCTGGTGTCCACGCATCATTCGCCTCTGGCGTCTCAGTGATAACGGTTACATTAACCGTTATACGCAACGCTACCGTAACCGTTTTCCGTACGCAACTAAAGACTATCCCTGATCACGGTCATACATGAACAACAAGTGCCCGCATCGGGTTGCCTGATTGAAAAATGCATGCGTGCAGTTCGTGTATCCGTCTCTGTCACTTGGTACCCCCAAACTCGGCTCTATCAACAAGTTCTCGTACATCAATTGTGTACTTATCTCTCTCGTGTTTACCAGAGTTCTCTCTTGATGATATAGTGAGGTCGTGTGTGGTGGCAGATATCGAGTAGTCGGCGGTTCTTCGACCATCAGTGCGTCTGTTGCTCACGTCGCATCTCCTTCATCAGCCCACGCTAGATGTGTTCTGTAGGCCTGCCTTCTATCGAGCCTGCCTTCCAGGCTGCCGTCATGATCGGATGATGCCCTTCACTGATTTTCACTCTCTGATATTCATGCGCCCCGCTTCAAGTTCTTTTTATTATTTAACCCATTTAACACACTTCAGTTTAACTCATTTATCACAAAGTTCGTAGATCAATGTGTTCAATCACTATTGTTTTGTTCGATTTTACTAAATTTGACGAGCTGGAAGCAGCTTTACAAAGTTTCTAGCTGATCTAAGCCCCTCGGGTTTGTCTCGGATCTTCTGCACTAACTTCTGTGCTTGTGTGGCCCTACTTGGCGCGGTTGCTCACAGTTGTTGCGCGCCTGCATGGGAGACTAAAGTATGATTGTTTGGAGGCAGCGCCACACGGTAGGCTCATTACAAATCTTATCAGCTTTAATTTGATTTAAGTCTCGAATATTTAGCTTGTTTTGCACATCTCCTTGTTGTGTTGACGCTGCCGTGTAGTGTTGAATGAAATTCAAGTGGAGTTATCCTGTTCGGCGCTTACTTTCATTCACTAAAATATTCATCACTTTTCTGTAAAGGAGACACGAGCTCATGAACGACTCTAGAATCAAATCTAAATTGTCATGACATCAATATAAATTTTTTATTTACAAATTTTAATAGTTCTCATGTTTCATTCAATGAAGACCATGATTTTAGTCTCAATTTGTTGATTATTTTGTGCGATGCACATCAATAATGTAGAATTGTAAGAAAATGTTCTTTCACTTGAGCGTAGGTATATTTTAAATGTCCAATTGATTCATGCTTATTTTTGCCTATCAATATTAATGATCAATTCACACTCACTGCGCGCGGTTTGGGTAATGAAAAGATTAAATTCGGTCCATTTCAATAGCAATGAAATCAAAATGTATACCGAAAAGAAATCGTATGCCGAACAAAATTTGACAACACTTCACTCACCGCAACCCGCGTAGCTTACGGAACTCTCGTTTGTTTATTGTCATCCTTTTGGGGTCATTCTTTCCACTCGATTTGTCGCCTTTTTTTTATTCCCTAACTTCTTGACTGCACGTGCAAATAATTACTCATAAACTCGCTTCAGTTTCTTTTGATTATAGGATCTTGAGATTGGTTAGGAAAACCGTATCCGCGCTGAAAGCAACATCGCAGAATTTTCACAGTTTGCTTGGTCTCAAACCCACAACTCGCTGCTCCGATCTTTTTGCTTGTGACCGCTTGACCATTGCGAGAGCAGTTGACGGCAAAACAAAGCTTCATTGAGTGCATGGTCTGTTAGAGATTGCAGGTAATGTAAGGTATATCTGGTCAATACATCGCAGGTAAGTTATCTCGATGTCACGGCATTAATTGTTGCATGCTTCACTTCGGTTATTGTTATTATTTTCATTAGATAGCTCGGAATCCTGCAGTATTTTTGCGTTCACACAAACCTTCTTGCATGGTTGCCAGTTATGATCCCGATTGAACGTTGTTAAATTTATCAGTTTCTTTTCTTGTGCCAAAAAATTTCACCTTGTGCCCCAATGAAACCTGCCTCGATAACCGCGATACCTTTTCCCTAAAATTTGTTAATTGTGTGACTATTACTTGATTAAAATACCACACCTAATTTACCCCCTGAAAATTAATTAATAAATTCCAGGTATTAATTAGATCACATCCCATTAAGGAGCACGTTACCGTAGTAAAAAAATTATAGAAAACTTGCCGGTAATCGTTCATTTCATTCTTCCTATATTTCCTCCTGCATATGTATTTATTGCTGTCTTTTACATCCACGTTCGTTTCGATCTCCCATGGAATAGCGTTAATATGTGCTTCCGATTATTTTAAGCAAAGACATCTAGTTCCATCAACTCAACGTTCCATCAAAGATTATTAAAAGCATCAATTCGGCCTTAATTTCCGTGATTAGGTTTCTTAATGAGTCATTACGGAAGAGTTGAACCGGTGCAGCTTGTTGCTTCTTCCTCCACGGCGCCGCTTGGCGATCTTCCGAACTGATGATTTAATCTAAAATTTTGTTCAATTAATTTAAGTTTTATTATCGTGTGTGCATTTTGTCTAATACGTTCCCAATTCTTTGTATGAATAGGTAAAAATGTGTAAATTGAGCATCTCACTGCTCGCTGTTGAGGTGAACTCTTGTTTAAAAACTGAAACCGTTACAGTTTAGCCTAAAAACCACCGAGATTTCACAAGTTTCGTATTCTGAGAGTTCAGATACGACCGTGAATTTGAAAGCGGCATTTTATTCATCTGTTTTGATGAGCATGACGTGTGGAGGTGTATCTGCTGATGTAGTTGTCGGGGTGCAGACAACAAGTGTGTAGGCTGTGCATACGAACAAACTCAAAAGACGATATTAAGCTTAATGGACTCGAGAAGCAGCGCCTTCGTGATCTACCCTATCAAAATTTAGAGTCGTCCCAGCTTCTGGTACCCCAAATCAGAAGCTGGGGCGACTCTAAATTTTGTTATGGTAAAGCTGTTTAATATTACCTTTAACTGGGCGTTATGCGACGGCAGCTTGTAAGTGACGTGACACAAGCAGCTGTCATCGGCGGTAACGCAGGACAAGAAGTGTGTGGTGTTGGTGACATGAAACTGTACATTATTATTATTCTTATAAATACTCCTGGAGTTGCTTTGCCCTTTTTCTGTGGGGCAAATAAACTGAGCATTAGACTGTGAAATCCTCCCATTTCCCTTAGCGTATGCAGACCTGAGATGACTGCATGGTAAGCTATACATCATCGATCTTCTTTGGATCATGTCATTTTGTTGTAATATTATTACTATGAATAATATGCTATTGTACTTCTAAGGTGATCCGATGGCAGCGTGTGTTACGCTATATGCTTGCGCTCTTCTGAACGAAATCTACATTGTTAGTGAACTGTTGGCTGAGACGAATCAACTGATAATTCTATATACTACCAGACTTGACGTTGAACTAAGGTTTAATTAAAAGTTATTTTTGGACGAATAACTTTAATTAAACGTTGCTTCAACGTTATTTGCCTGATGGGTTGAGGTATGCATGATTGTGGTGAGTTGAACCTCGTGACGATGAACTCGTTATATCAATTCAATATTGTTGAAGCTCGGTCTCGGTTTATTTTTATCACGATTGCTATTTTATTCGCCTTGTCCGATTCTGTTGGAGTTTTAATTCAACCTAAGTAGCTGATAGAAACATGACCGATCCTTTTAAACTTCTTGCAATTCACGAGACTTTCGATAATTAATTGGACGCGAAACACACGTCTTTTTCCGATACTTTCTTCTCAGTCAGAAATGGTTCCAAATACCTGGTTTTGTGTTTAAATTATCTATAAGAATATACATTATTCCTTGAAATTGGTGCAAACGGAAGCTGGCCTCTGTCAGAAAGTCGTCATTTCAGGTTAATATTATTTTGGTACGGTTTTGTCTCTGGTTAATTGCTCGTTGGTTGCTCTAAATCTTGGATATTTTCTCATAGGCTTCATGAATATTGCTTTGTTTGCCTGTGGTAACGTAGCAATGTTTATATGCGAGTTCATCGCTAGAAACCTCTATCAAATTTGCCAGCTATTTGACGGGAAGTCATAGGCATTTACTAAATCATATCTTCTTTGTAACGTAGCTCATTCGTGTCTCGTATTTGTGTTTATTCCAGCTCTTGTGTTTTTTAAATTGTTTTGAGAGCTTTTTGGCGTATGATGTGCTCGTTATTTTGTTGAAGATTGGACAAAATTAGCATGTTATTTTAACAATAGGTGAAGTATTGCGAAACTGGTGAAGTTTTATATCTTCGATAGAAAAGTCGCATGTTTGCGTTAACTTAAAGTTGACTCGTCGTGTGAGTGCTGAAACGTACGTTGTGCACTGTAAGTAAGAATGCGAGTGATGTTTTGAAGACTTTAATGAACTTGGTTCATTATTATATTACGTGGTGCTGCTCCTGTATATACGACCCGCGATCAGCATTGCGCTCCTCCATATCTTACCTACCTTATTCTTAACCTCCCTTCATCTCCTCCTTCACCCCCCTTCTTCTCCTTAACCTCCCTTCCTCTCCTCCTTAACAGCCCTTCCTTTCCAATTTTCCTTCGACCATATTAATCCTTTCTCTCCGTGTGCCCTTTACCTCCAGCCGATCAAGACAGCTAGAACAGCAAGCCGGAATCATTATAGCAATCATTTCTAAATATTCCTGCAAAAAGATCTTCCCCTTGTTTGTACTCGTGGTTTGCTGCCACTAATCCATAAATTCGTTGAAGGTTCGTGCTGGCATCATTTGGCTTCTGTATTAAAGATATAGTGCTTTTACTGTTAAGCTAATTCAACGGCCAAAACATTTTATGCTAAATTCATTTATAAGTGGAATTTTTTGCACCTGAGATAAAATTCGCGAGATGATTAAAGCCTTTTAATTTGATTAAATCTTTACAATTTCGACCTAGCTCATGAGAAGTTTTTACAGTGAAAATCGCACCCAATGACAATCCCATAAAAATCCGATTCTCAACCATGCCCTAAGTTTAGTTTGAATACTGGCATTTTTACCGTGATCTTGGCTTGCTGTCCTAACAGTTACTTCTTTCATTAAAAGTCGCCCTCGGTACTAAAACTTCCTCCCAAATTCTTATCTGAATAATTCCTTGTCCAGGTTTCGTAAGTTTTGCGCGCGCTTTCTTAGCTCCCCGCTACCGATTCTGATTACGATCTTGCGATTGTGTTCGATGTGAGCGAATACTGTTCTCGTTTTCTCTTAAATATGCAGTCTGGACTCGGTGATTTACAATGATTAATGCGTGATTACGTGATTGAACTACGTGGATAATAATGATGCTAACCTGCGTGATACGCGATTGATTTATATCAATGATTTATACGGAATAATGTAATAAAATTTAGTTTTCTAGGTTCACGGTAATGCAAATGTAACTAACTACATCTGCATTGACATAAACATTACACTAAATTCTGTTCATCAAATATAAAACCTCTATTTGTGAACTAGTGATATCAATATTCGCTCACATCGCTTACAACATCGCTTACAGTCGCTCTTACCTTACATCCTTGCTGGGTGATGATACATCACCACTCGAATGTTACACGAGTCGATGGATGATGTCCCGGGACTCTGATGATGTATGCAGTGCTTGTGTCCCCTTATCCCTAGTCCCGCCATGGGCTACTCAGGTGGTTACTATTCATTATTTTCATCTATTCATACAAGTTACTTCATTTTGTTAGGTGTAAATAAATTGTGTAACATGTTCAGTCGTTATCTTTTTTCCGAGTAACATGATTAGAAAATTTGTGTGCAAATGTTTCTATAACTGGCGCTCGCTGACATATAAGTATGAATTTGACTTACCATTCATTATGATGGACTTACCATTCATTAGCTTGGGTAACGGCCTAAATCTGAACAAACTACGAGAAAACCCAAGTCCCCTACCAAGTGCTCATACATAGTACAATTAGTACGGTATAAGATGAGGCGCTCAATTGCATGCAAATAACACACACCGTAGAAGAAAAAATCCTGGAAAAGATATTGCGGGTAAATACCGCACATGTTGAACAGGTAAACTTTACTGAATTATTCAAGTGCAGTGAAGAGAATATACAATAAATTTTAAGAGTTGCTCGCGCTTTAAGATTCGCGGCGACCTGAAGTTGCAGCAGAGGCAAGTAGAAAAGGCAAATGCAGGCATTGCAAATGTAAAATGAATACAAAAGGAGTTTATATGGTGGTTCAGAAATCAACCTGTTAACAGGAGCCTTACAGGAGGATGAATGGCCTTAATTGCAAGAATTTTATCCGGGTAGTTTAAACTACAGCAAAATGTAATAAATGATACATAATAATGGTACAGTACTTGTCCATTTATATGCGAAAATGAATAATGGTACAGTACTTGTCCATTTATATGCGAAAATGAATAATGGTACAGTACTTGTCCATTTATATGCGAAAATGAATAATGGTACAGTACTTGTCCATTTATATGCGAAAATGAATTACAGAAGATATTCCCAATTTTTAGAGACTGGGCATCAAAGAACTTGATACTAGAACAAAATTTCATTAATTTAAAACCATTTTTCCACATGAGGCGTGGCTGCAAGAGACGATTCTTACGGGCTGTAATTGTCTCATGGTCGAGCCCTCGCGCAGAACATTTCATTACAATTTAAATCACGATGTCGAGTATAATAATTTGTCTTAGTGTTCAAACAACAAAATTCCGAAATAAAACCGATTCGTTTTATTTTCTTCAATAAGAGAGAAGAAAATTTCAAATTTGCCCAGTGGAACGACGTTTTTTTTTTAAAGAGTTTGAAGGCTCCTGCAGTCTCTGCAGTTTTTTGAGAGCACAAGACGCTCAAGCAACAATTCAAAGTCGTAAAGTGCTTAAAAGTTGTCCACTTGGTGGATAGTTGGTTGTTATTCTGTCCATACGAAATAATTTCCATCAGTCACGGAAATAGTAAAGCTGAAATCACGCAAAAAAACAAGCCTGCAACAAGAAGGGAATGATCGTGATGAGATTAAAATCATGTAAGGGGACTCACAATTGCGAAAAAGATCACGATCTTTGGAGGGTAAGAGTGCTAGGTTAATACACCATGAGTAGAAACACTAAATCAACATTAATTCTTAAACACGCGCGATACTTAAAAATACACGGCAAGATATACACAAGGTGAAACAGTTTAGTACAAATTGAGCCTATAATTTAGGTAGCTAATACACTAGCTCTTTCCAGTTTGTATAAAATCTCCTCAAATACCTTTCAACAAAACGGCAAAAGATTAGGTTATTCCTGATCAACCGTTGCGACGAAATTATGATAATGAAATGTAAACGTATAAACATGGCTTACGTGTACGGGAATCTATAACGGTCACGGCTGTTCAAGACATCTAAAAGGAAGATGTAGGCTTTGGTTACAAGAAATAGATTGAGATGGATTCGACACGTGCAAGCTTGGAAAAGAACCACCAAGGTAACGTCTCACCAAACCGAGAACGTTTCAGCATAAAGAATTCTATGATGATGACCAATAGGCATAAAATACGATAAAAATCCAGTTTACAACGACGAAAATTTTGTAACCGATATACTGGAAAAATTACCTACAGAACATATTTATATTTCTGAAGATAAAAGAACAAAACGCTTTGTAACGATTATACAAAACAGCGATTAATAATGTACCTAGGGCTACATGCATGATATTTTTGGCATGAAATATTGCACGATTACAGACCAACATTGCGAGTGTGATTACTTCTTAGCACAGCAGGAGTAAGATAGATGTAACATATCATTCGTCATCAGTTTTTAACAAATGATTAGAGAACGCGGCCAATGTGAGTATCTCGCGTTGTAACAAGCGGACGAGAAGCTGGTTTACTTACACGTGATTTAACAAAAGCGGGCATTGCAATTCACAATTAGGAATTTTTGAAACGTGGACAAAAATTGCACAAAGCGACAAAAATTGCATCGAACACGATGTAAGAAACTCTACCACCTTACTCATCTATTCAGCCGATCAAATACTCCCTCAAACCCGCTCATGTTCCAGATTACTTTTGGTATTCGAACAATGAATCTGAATACGAATATTTGAATAAGTTCTTTCGAAGACAATTGCGGCGAATGCTGTCCTTGTCCTACTGAACTCAAGACGTTGGATGACAGTGGCAATAGGAGAGGAATAAGGTGGAAGAAAATGAGCAATAAGGATTGAAGCGAAAGGAAGGAGGATTGTAGGAAGATGAAAAGTAAGCAAGTCGCCCTACCGTGCACAAGGCAGCACACACAAGCTACGGGGCGGGAAGGCTTACGTACAAAAGACGTCAAAAGAGCTACACTAAACGCGGTACATAGATGCGCGGGAGGATCGATCCTGCAAATGTTTGAATAACAACCGAATTTAATGGCCACGGGGCATTTGTTGTAGCGGTACAACTAGATAAAGTGGAACCTCGCAATTCGTTATAATCCAATTTGAACCAGAATAATTGCAACTGGACACAGTAAATTAATTAATAGAAAAAAATCCGATGCAGTCAATTTCAATCAAAGCTGTTGCTTAAACTTGATTTCATAAATTTCAGTCTATCTTGTTATGCATAGCGTGACTTCATTACTTCTAATTGATTCCATGATATTTGGTCGATCCAACCTTGGATTTGCATCCAGCTCTGAGCTACCCACTTATATGAAATGTAGAGCAGACACACATACAACATCGAGAAAATGACAACATAAATCAGGTAATTAAAGCGCTGCAAACAAAGCGACCATCACCTACGGGAGCACAGAAAGCGTCTCTAATTTTCACACCTACAAAATAAAAGTACCTATAATGAAAAATTTACACCAAGATTTACCATTTGAATCTCTTCGTAAGATTGCGAAGAGATTCAAGGCAATTTGTTGACTTGAATCTCTTTAAATATTGGCCTAACCCAAAGTGAAGGAAGTCAATACCGCAGAAGACCATGTAACAGCAAATACTTAGTAAGCAAGTTCATAATCATATGCTAAGCTATCAAATCCTGTATCAGATGTTCCAAATTAAATTGCTTAATTTTAATATTTAAGTACACGACAAACAAGTTTCAAAAGTTTCTGTCTGACAGACCCATTCACGAGTACACACGGAGAATGTTAGGGACCTTACACAAAAAGTCAATGATTTGGCATAAGCAAAGTTAACAAACAAGGGTGGTGCTATCAAGGCTGCAAACACTGACACATGAGCTGAATATTGTGATTATTTCAATCAAAGACAGGCATAGCCTGATCTAACAATACCAAACTGATAACTTCCAGCAAGTTTTTCAATTAACACAAAGGAGCAACGAATAATAAGTGAAGTTTGTACGGCCAACTGCAACAATTCAGAAGAATAGATGTAGGTATAGTAGAGGTAAATAGCCTTATTTTGATCGAACATCAAATGAATGACTACAACATTGAGGAAAAAGTACGATTCCTATGATGAATAAAATGACAATGACGCGTTTTGAAGCAGCTTGCATATGAAAGCCAAATTCAACTTGCATAATGATGAGAACTAACATATTGTTCGAATTTCCATCACGAACCAAATTACAAATTCAGCGCTGACACTGAACGCCCATCTTAGTGCGGGAATACGCCTAGACCGAGACATTGTCTGGCATGTTTTTTTGTATTTAAAGCACACAAGAAGATAAATAAGATTAGGGCGTTCATACTAACTTGGTTAGGAGTACAACTCATTAAACTATCAAAGCCTTCACGATAACAGCACACATCACGAGATAATAAGATGATATCATTACCACAACATACAACAGCAAAATGTGATGACAAACACAGCAGCGGGAGAGGCTTAGGTATTGACCCATCACTGTCCAAATGTCGTGTGGTTCACACAAAAAAAAAAGCAAAAAGATTGATGAATTTGTCCATCTGGGCAGTGAAGGATCAAAAAAGTGTTCCGAGCCTTGAATACATCGTTGCTGCTCACAGGTTGCAGATAAGCAAATGCAACAAGATATGCTAAAAGTGCGAAATTTATATATTGAACTCGTAATTTTAAGATTTTGCAGTTTTTCCCCTATGAGCAGCAGTTGGTATATATTCGAGCCATGTACTCCCCTTTTCTAAGAAGCTCCCGCGTTCGGATCAGAGAAATGATGAATAAAAATGAGAGGAAGTCAAGATGAAGAATTTTGCTGCATTGAGAGCAAGTCCTCCATCTAGACGTCAACAACCATCTTTTTATGGACGTCTGTGTTTCCGACGACAGTGCAGAACTCCTCAAAACTGATCTTGCCATCTTCGTCCTTGTCGGCAAAGAGCACAGTTTTGTCGACGATCTGCTGAAGTTGCGTGTCCTTCAGGTTGTTACCCACCATCATCTTCAGGACCTGCACATCATAATTAGAAATAAACGATGTGCTCACCAGTGGCTTGCGAGTGGAGATAAAGGTTTAATCCAGAAATCCCACATCATAATATAAGTTGAAAAATTCTTTAAGTTGAGATGCAGAAAAGAAAATTATGGAAAAGTTCAAAGCAAAGTTGCATGTGCTTTGGTTTTAATAATTAAAGCAATAAAACACAGCCTGAAACATGATTGGCGATACAGAACATCTACCAGCTGTAGTTCATGGTATCTAAATATGAGGAAGTACCATATATACTCTACAAAAGAAAAATTGTTTTAAGGCACTCAAATTGCTCCTTTCTTCAAATAAATTAATCAATTCTATATGAATACATTAAACTACGTCGCATTAAAAGTACAGAGGTCGTACTATCAAAACTCGCCCAAGCCTACACAGCAGCCATTTTTCTCTCTGTGATTGGAAGGTTTAGCTTATGATTTATGAAGTCGTCAGTGATTGGCTGAAGGAGTTCTGATTTCATAAATATTAATGGAAGTACAGCTCTCCTGATAACAGAAATATACATCAGTAGACAAGTGTTTAATGTGAGTTGAACTGTATTGACCTGGAAGAGCTCGCCATTGGAGATGTACCCATCGTTGTCCATGTCGTAGATGCGGAACGCAAACCGCATCTTGCTCTCTTTGTCACCTTTGACGCTGAACTGTGACATGCCTTGTATGAACTCTGCAATAATTCATACAATTTGTATCATAAATCAATACTTGTTGACACAAAGTTTACAATGTGTTCGAGCCATGTTTACATTTTTTTATTCAAAGTTTACCATTTTTGATGCAAAATTTTTGAGTTATAGCTTTAAATTGCCTGTGCACACCTTAGTATTTTGCACTCATTATCAATGTTCGACATTATCTGAACAAAGGTGGTAATAAGAAAATTATCAAGTAATAAATATCAGTGCATTCGTTGCTCACCAATTTTAGCATTTTTAGTACAAGATATAAACAATAGCATTTGACACAATGAGAATCATTTTATGAATATTTGAATTTATGATATTCAACATAAGAAATTAACTGGTAAGTAAAATTCAGAGTTTTGAGGCAGACTGGATAACACAGTCAAACTAAGAAAATGGGCTTGAGAACTTCAACCAGACCTCTAATATTGACTTGAAAACTAACTTCATAACTAAAAAAGTGGCAGTAGAAGCAACACAAGTTCTGCAAGTATTTTCATTTGCAGGGAAAGTAGGAAAAAGATGGAGACTTAGGCTCTAGTTTGTTACCTTAGCCTTGTGCCACATCCCTTACCTTTAAAGTCAACTTCTCCATTGCCATCAGCATCAAATATATCGATGACCCTTTGGACAAGCGGATTTTGTTGTAGCTCAGGTAAGGACATGAACTCCTCAACGCTCAGCGACCCAGAGTTGTCCAAGTCCAGCTTACGGAACCTCTTGCCCAGCCGCCGGATCTCGTCCGCATCAACTGCAGGAGCCGTAATGAAGAGACCAAAACACCATCAGTTATGATGTAGTGGCAGCATCACATCAGTGAGGTAGTGGCAGCATCACATCAGTGAGGTAGAGGCAGCGTCACATCAGTGAGGTGGAGGCAGCGTCACAGCAGTGAGGTGGAGGCAGCGTTACATCAGTGAGGTGGAGGCAGCATTACATCAGTGAGGTGGAGGCAGCGTTACATCAGTGATGTGGAGGCAGCAGTCAAATAGTTGCAGTAATGCAGTAATCAGTAGATGTGATGTCATACAAAGACGTGGCAGTGGTGTCACCAGGCAATAATCCATTACCAGATTCAGCAGAAGTAGGTTCCACCAGCAATGGTAGTGACAGCAAAACATGGGGAGCGAGAACAAAAATCAGTTTTGAGAAATGAAGAGCTCAATGAATGAGGTCATTTAATTAAAAATGAACTTAGATTAAATTACAACAAGAAATAGTGTGATGGGAATGAAATCATTTTGTTGTGACAGGTTATTCATCACATTATTTGAAATGCTATCTGACTGTGACAGTTGCAGTATATCAGGTATGTCAAGATAACAGGACTAAAACTATATTAGAACTGATCTAGGGACAGTTTATAGCACAGATCAAGGAGCCATGATGTGGGTTAATAATTATTGTTACGAAGAGATGATTAGAAAATATTTCATGCTTGATCAGATAAAATTTAATTATATTACTTAAGATATCACAGGAAGGCAAATCCAACAACCTGGTGAGAAGGGTACAGACACACTCAAGTTTTAAGACTAAAACAATGCATAATAAAATGTTTTAGGGAAGAAACACCATTGCACTCTTTTAATGGGAAAGCTGATCATTAAGGAGACGGCAGTAATGAGTAACATGAGAGGAATTTACTCAACAATAAATACCACATGGCATGGGTGAAGAATCTAAGGAAGCTATGAGTGAGGCAGAGTAATCTGGTACATATGTAGATGGAATTGTAATTATAGCCACCAAATTTTCAAGGTCACAAATTTAAACATGCAGTTAAGGCTGAATAGTAAATGACCAACTGCCCTTGCAAGAGAAAGAAACAAAGATGCAACAGAGTTGACCAGAAAAATTGGCTGAGATCAGCAACACGAGTCAAATACAAAATTCTACCCCACCTCAAGGAATAGCTTAGATGAAGTACCTATGGCTTTGATGTCAAAGATTGAAGCAGAGATTGTGGGTCAAAATTATTTTTACTGATTTTACATCATATTGTACCCCCATGAAATTAGGTTTTAGCATTACCATACAAAATTCTGACAATAATTGCATCAAAAAAATACAAAATTTAAATTGACCAAAAACACATCAACCTAAAAATTTATCATTAATAATAATGATCACAAACACCTGGAACAACAGGAATGACTTGCAAAGCAAGAGCTTAAATGAGAAATCTCATGCAAAATGTGGTCTCGATTAAATTAATTCAATAAACATTAGATTAAAATTAGCATTAAAGCAGGAATTGGAGTATCAAATTTAATATTTTTTTATCAAAAACAAGAAATTCTAATATGTTGGCATTATGAAATTTCTAAGCTACATAACTTCATGTGAATATAGTTGACAATGGAACACCAAGAGCTAAGAATGGAGAATATTTCAGACATAACAACATTAGGTGCAATAGTATTGACTCTTACTGCACACAGATATTGTACAGCAAGAATGGATGATTCAACTTTGCACTGTAACCTCAATACTATTAACCAGAAAATCAAACCAGTTATTTGCATTTCAATGCAAATTAAATGATCCTAACAAATAATGTCTATGGTTTTGAAGGAGCTTAGATTTTACCTCAAGAATCTTTTCATGGCAAAGATACACCATAAGAATCTCCAATCATTTCAAAATTTTGTCAATAAACAAGCATATGGGTAGGCTAAATACAGAGGTGGAGAAGTAAAAACTATTGATAAATCTTGGCAAGCATAAGTGAAACCGATGAATGAGACATGAGCACGCCTAGGGCCATACTATCAGAAATAACTTTTGTACACTAAATACACATAGCAGGCAATTTCTCATCTCTGATTGGCAGGTTCAGCCCAGAAAGCTGTCAGTGATTGACTGCAGCAGTTACAAACTCTCAATCATTTTCAGCGCATTTTCTCATTTATGGAAAAAATGCACTATTGTGCTCGCCAATTTTGTCTGTCTGTCTGTCTGTTGGTCTGTGTGTCCATCCGTGACCTCAAGTTTTCGTCGACGAGAAAATGCACGCTCTGTCACTCACTGCAGTGAGTACTGAGTTATATTTTTGATAGTATGGCCCCAGAAGACACAGGGAGACCTGCAACATGGGGGAGAGCAAGAAGGGGGTGCAAGCAGCCAAGTGGGTAGTGGTAGTAAGGGCTTGTGTGGAGCACTTTGTGACAGTCAGTAATAGGTCCTCTGATATCACATGACCATTTTTACAAAGGTTGGCGAGACAGAGAGCTGACAAATAGAATAAAATCTGTTGTTTCTCTGCCAGAAGGAAACGGCAGGAGAAATGCAAGAATAATGGCATCACTACTTACACTGGACGCCTTAAGAAGAACTTTACTGTACCAAAGCAATGAACGACTCGGTACGCCGAGGATGGGAGGAGGAAAAAAAAAAGAATTAGATCATACTGATCCTTCAATACTTACAAAACCAAAGTTTACAACACAGAGACCTGGCAACAACTGAGAAAATGATACAAGAGTGTGATAGCTCCCACAAAGAGCATGATATGGCTTACAAAATCTAGTAAACAATGAATCCTTCATCCTCACACACAAAATCTCAATGAAATCAATCATCATTTTGAGAAAAAAACTTTTTTGTATGCTGTAATTTATGATAATGAGCAAGTTGGGCATTCAAATTTGAAAACTTTGATCCAGTAATTGAACTGAGCATAAATGGACCATACTATAGCATAGGTGGGAGCTTCCACAAGAGAATGAGTACTGAAGCACAAAGGAGATGAAAAAGTTGCCAGATTATTTCACTCACACATCTGGAATCCATACTCTGAAGAAGCTGCAACAGAACAGATAAGATGAATATTGCACTCTGGAATACATGCATGAGGTCTGGTGAAAGAACACAACACTTTCTGCAGGGAGGCCTGCAGGGCAGAACGAGTGGCACAGAATCATGGGATTAACGCAACTATTGGACTCAACGCTTTGCATCTAATGGGATCAAAATATTTCTGGGTCATCATGATTTGATTTTCAAATTTGAAAAGGGATAAAAAGTCTCAGGGTCACTGGGTCAGGTTATTCAGATTCAAATGGGTTAAAAAAATCTCAGGGTCATTGGTCTTGTTGTTCTGTTATTTATTTGTATGGGACAAAAATATCAGGATCATTGGGCTAACTTGTTCAGATTTGAATGGGCTAAAAAATAATTATCAGGGAAAAGTTACTCAAATTTTAAGTTTACTTTCTTCCAAAATTCCAGACAGGATCTAATTTTCATGATATTGATGAAATTTCTAAGTGAATTAAAAACATGTTTGCAAGTCAAATAATTAGAAATTTGAGTAATCTTTTAATAGATATGTGAATTTGAGTCATATTATTGAGGATACAAAATTATTTCCTAAGGGGATACAAAGTTATATTCCTAAGATGAGTGCTTTTAAATCAGTAAATTTGCTAACTTGAATCAAACTGGAAGACTAATTTTGTCTGTGTAATTAAGAGTATTAAACTAGTCAAACTCATTGAGTAATATTATAGGCTGTAATTATTACCTAGCTCATCAGACAAATTATTGTGGATTACAGCAGCCAAACAACAAAACTCGTCTTAGGCAAAGAGGAACTGACAACTCTACACAATTGCAATTTTTATGACATTCCCTAACCAGCATCAATATCAGTTGTTCCTATAATGTATTTCATGAAATGAATTTATTCATGATACATCCTACAGAACAAGATCTCTAAATGCCATTTTTCTGAATGTATTTAATTTGTAACTCAACTTACTGCAATAAATGCAGCTAGTTTAAAGACAAACATATAACATTAATCAAAATTTATTATGATAGATATTCTATGTTTTGATATCTAAATTTTCTATATTATATCAAATCCTCAAATCTGATGATAGATGATCTCCTGCACACAAGCAGAAGATAATGAGATAATCTTTGACAAGTATCATCATAATCATCATTTCTCTATACTCATCAACATTATACTCATAGATATACTAGTCATCATAATTATCATCTTTTTATACTTCATTGATTCATTAGCATCAGTACAGCCAGCCTAATCAAACTACATCTGTTCATGTAAAAAAGATTGGACAACAGGAATATTTATTATAATTGACTGATGGAGTATTAAAGATGTTTCAGTTCTAAAGGAGAAATAATGTCAATCACCTATGGAAGCTTCTATAGTAAAAATATTTTCTGTTCATTCAATTGGTGCCCTGGAACCTTGACTATTGTCAATGATGCATTCATTGAACATGCTTTCATTCAAATAAAATAAAAAATAACTATCCATCATATGTATTATTCATTAGAAAAATTAGTTGAATAGAGCTAAAAATTCATTTTTTATCAGAAGAGTTAAATAACACCTAGCATGTCATCAAATTAAAAAATTAAAACAATTATAACACTCAATGATTTTAATTGAGTGTACTTGATCAACAATTTATGTTCTCCGGTTAATTTCCAGATGGTTGCACAAGATGGATGAAGATGCACAAGATGATGGTTGCACAATGGCAAAACTGACTGTAAAAGGACCTTCTACATTTATTAAATAGTTGCATTAATACGTCAATTTTCTCGTTGAAATATTGAAACATAATTCCTATTTTGCAAACCTTTCATGAAATTTTTAGATGCACTTTCTAGATGAGATTTTTAGTCCCCATTGACTAGAGGAAGAAATTGCTAAGATTTTTGAAGAACTTTACATTCCAACATTAAATCATTTTCTTTACACGATTAACATTAATTATTTTATAACTAAAGCTAGAATACTGCTATTATGTTGACCTTAAAATGAGCTTTTGCTAAAATGTTGACCTTGCTGGCAAAAGAGCCCTGCTGACATCAAAGAAAATTTGAAAAAAATTTCTGCCAAGATCATGAGCAAATTAAATTTGTAGTCCGCTCTAGTGGTAACTAAGGTAAAGCTTGCAGTTCTAGAATCCATGAATTAGAGCTCAGCCAGATTTTTGATAACAAACATCCTGGCTGTCTGATAAATATGGTATTTATTTGTCATATATAGATATATTCCAAGCACATTGTAATTAGTTGAAAATTGTCCCAAAATATTAATTAATTGGATATTTTTGAGTATCAGCAAACTAGACGATTAGAGCATTTGCAAAAAATTAACTTAGAAACGAAATAATAGAGAAAATTTCAAGCCTTTTTTGGACCATGTTCATAAATCGTGCAAAATCTTTACCAATCTTGAATGATGATCAGATTGTTTCCACTTAGCAAAAAACAAACAGTACTATTATTCTAAATAGTATTTAGATATGATACCTGGTATCACTCCATTTTTTACTGTAGAAAATGAAAAAAATAGTTCCTGATAGAGAAAAACTTTCCATTTGCAAACCTTTCAGCATACATTTATTCACTCCTCAACAAAATAACTGCTGAATTACAAATTGACAAAATTATCAATGATTATGTCAATGCGTATATTAATAATTAAATGGCATATCAAGAATATTAAAAAAAAATATTCAACCTGATGATCACTTCCACAACCTTCATCAATGAAAGACTTGGAACATACTAATAGTTATTCCTCTCCATCTACCTTGCATCACATTACAAAACCTTAAATTCAGTTCTTCTTTAATCAAGTACATAACCAACTCGATAATGCCTACCATCAACTTATAGCCAGTAAGCAATTTAGGCCATAATAAACAAACATTTCTAACTGTACAGGTAGAGAATATTTCCAATTAACTTCCAAATCATTTCTTTTCTTGACAAAAAAAAGACTAATTTGAGCAACATAACTGAAATCACTCATACAGTTAGTGACAAAAATATTTGTACAACATATTCTTTCCAATGTTTTTGGAATAACTAAAAAATTAATGAATGTATGAGCTTAAGATTGGATTGAACCAAGCAGTATGTAATTGGCAAAATAACACTACATTTTCAGAACAAAATCTAACATCAAAACATTTTAACAAGCAAAAATTTCCCAACATCTCCAGATGCAATGATTCATAGTTTGAAAATACCTACTAACATAGTTGCAATATTAATAATCAATGCTATGTCCTTTCATCTCGATAATCTCCAGGACTCTCTTTCTATAGTTCTTGATGAGATTTGCAGTGGTGAGTGGTATATAATTATCTGAGTTCATTATTTCATCAATTTGAACTAACTTTGAGGTGCCACTTGAGGAGAAACAACCCAAATGCATCATTTACCCACCCCCATGGTTGACTGTTGAGATTGTGTTGTTTGGAAGGAAAGCATACCTTCTAAGCGCCAAATATTCTTTGTACTACTATTTCCATGTTGCTCAATTTTTGTTTTGTCCCTCCATAATACTTGGTTCCAAAAGACTTCCCCTTGTCCACGTAAGATCTTACAAATGCAAAATGAGCACCAACAGGATGTCGTGTATGAAGTCGGCATCATCCATGCAGGCCATTCATGTTGGGACGACACTGTATGGAACGCTGACTCACGCTTGTTCCCTTACCGGCTAATCTATTGACAATGCCCTTCAACACCTCTCTCGTATTAATTTTTACCTCACAAAAGTTTTTGAACTGCTTGTTCCAATAGTATGGGCTTCCCGCCTTGTCCAGGTAACATGTGTGCAGTACCAAACTCTAAAAATTTCTTTATCACCAACTGTACTGCGGTTCTTGGAATATTCAGGCATTTTGAGATGCAACCATAACCATTGCCAGATTTGGACAAGTCAATAATTTTACTTCTCAAATCCACATTAGGCTCCTTCATCTTGCCCATCATGAAGTTTGCAGTCGATTAGCATGAACCAGATACCTTAGCAAATCTCATCAAAAACTATAGAAAGATACTGCTGGAGGTTATGAAAATGTAGGACATGCCATTGATTATTAATATTACAAGTACAACTATGTTACTTTGTTCCAACTGCATGAATGATTGTGTCTGAAGGTTTTGGGAATTTTTGCATGTTAAAAGTTTTGAAATTGCATTTTGTTCTGAAAATATTGCATTATTTTTCATATTACATACTGCTTAGTTCAATTAAATTGGAGGCTCATACATTCATTAATTTTTTAGTTATTCAAGAAAACATTGAAAAGAAAGTGGTGTACAAATAATTTTGTCCTTAAATCAAAATTGAATAGGTCCCTCACTTAATCTCCAATAACACTGAAAATTGGTACAATTCCCAGCTTTCATTTCCATTACTGCAGAAAATATTGAGCCTTGGCTACAGACATCACACTCACAGTTGGAGCACATCTCCATCGGCAGTGAAGAATCATTTCCCTGCAAACAAATACAGGGAATTATTCAACATAATAACTTCAATGTACCATCATGATAAAGAAGTCTGAATAAAAAGAAGCAGTCTGAATAAAATTTCATTTAAATAAATTGTTCATTTATAACATCATTTTAAGCTTTCCTAAATATTTGTTAATGTTTAGACAAATCTTAGGGTCCAACAAAACCAGTGACAAATATTTGCATTTTATTCCCTGTGACAAATCTCTGATAAACATAAATGGAAATCATGAACTTTTATAATTTAACCTACTTAGTACATTGGCTCCATGAAGCAATTTAATGATAATATAACAGTTAGTGTACACTCAAGAATTGGCATTGAGTCAGAGAAGGTAATGGAAATCCTAATTTGAAGCAAAATATTTATTTGAAATTTGTATGAAATTTTTTATTGATTAGCAGACCAGTTGGTTTGATTCAAGCCAAAAAGTACCTCAACTTAGCTGCAATCTGAATAGCATTGAACTCCTGGGGCTAAATGTTCCAAAGGATTAAAAAAAATATAACTCAGTACTCACTGCAGTGAGTGACAGAGAGTGCATTTTCTCATCGACAAAAACTTGAGGTCACGGACAGACAGACAGACGGACATGGCAAGCACAATAGTGCATTTTTTACATAAATGAGAAAATGCGCTAAAAAGAGAGATATTGTCCAATCATGATATAGAGCAGACAATTAAAAAAAACGCATTGGTTTAATACCAAAATTTTACACAATTCTAAACCAAAATTTACCAAGCAGATTGATTCATTTCAAATAGTTCTCAAGCTTAGTTATCAAGTTGAAATGATCATTTATTAGCAATTTTTAATTCTCTAACAGTAACACCATATAGTTCAAAATTTCATTCAATGTCAATATATATATGGCAATAATGGTATCCAGGACACTTCACAGGTCTACTCATTGGGCTCGAAAAGGAAAAGTCTAACAAGTCTCTGCTTCCATGCTTTCCCACTAGGCCCACTACTCCTTCTAAGTGTAGAAACACTTTATTTTAAAATTAGCATTCCAAAAATATAGGCTAATCAACCTTCAATGATGCATAAGTTGCCACCCAGCAGCTACAGCACCTAACTTGCTAAGTACTTGTCAATAAAACCACTAAATAGTAAATACTGGTCAAAATTACAATTTGTAGGGTTTGGTTGCCACATAATAAATTTTTTTTATAGGTACCGTAAAATGGGGTAACTTAGACCACTTTTTTCTTTATAAATGATGCCATTTTTTTACTAGCTAAATTAAACTTACAAACTTGAGGAAAGTGTCATAAGACTCTGTACTCTGTAGAGTCTGAAACATAAAGAAAAAACATAAATAGCCTGTCAAACATAAAATATGTTATATATGGTAATTTTATATTAACTTCCAAGCCGGTCTATGTTACCCCGTCAGGGCTGACATTAGGTGGTCTAAGTTACCCCATTTGGGGGCGGCGCCCCCCATTTGCAAACTATGACACTTTCCAAAAATTTGTCATTTGCATATGTAACTAGAAGAGTTCTACTACAATGCATGAAAACCTGGAGTTATTTAACCAAAAAAATAAAAAAATTGGAGGGGGTACTCTGACAGGCTTTAAATAATAGCTCTTTTTTGTGGGTCACATTTTTAATTTTTTAACCTATTAGATATGCAAACTTTTTAAATCTTTCTATTCTGTTATGTAGCCTCAGTATTAGGCCTTTAATGCCGATCAACAAAATTTTTCTTTGTCAAATAGTTTTTGAGTCATGGGGGTTTTGTTAAAAAAACGAAAAGTGGTCTAAGTTACCCCGCCGGTCTAAGTTGCCCCATTTTACGGTAGTGCTATAAAGTTGGGGTGGGGCTCTGTTTTGTTTTGTTTTGTTAGTTGGGGTGGGGCCTTAGTGTCTGGGTCCCAGAAAAACTTTTTTATTTACAGACAGATCACTTTGAAACTTGATACACATGTGTAAAACAGAATTCTAAGACATTTTTGTTTGTGTAAATTTTTCGAAAAAACTAAAGGAAACTTGAAATTCTTAGAAAACAGCCAAAAGGGGGTACGATAAACAGCCAAAAAGGGAGTACAATAAACAGCCAAAAAGGGGGTACGAAAAGTACTCTAGTACCTACTAGCTATAATTACATGTTTATTAATGAAATGAATGATCTGGCACAAGTTTCCAATTCTATTAAAAATTTGTCCTCTTCTGGCTGCAAGATTTCTGGAATAGCTAATTAGAAAAATTCCAATCCTGCTAATTAAAATGCATGTCTTGCATACTATATAGCTATCATTTGATAACCATTTTTGTTTACAAATGTACGTACCTATTGCCCATTTTATGAAGCATGTCATCAAATTTTGTTTGTATAACCTACAGTTAACAATTAACATAGATAATTTCATAAACATTAATCAATTCATTCTGTGCAAAAAAAAACTAGTATAAATTCAAATTACTGGAATTGAAAAAAAATATCAAATTATCGTGATTTTGGAAGGGTCAAGTACTCGATAGTGCTAGACATTCTACGTTTTCTACCTAAAGTAAAAGTAGTACCTAGAACTCTAAATTTCTGAAAACGATCTAAGAAACTTAAAAATACAACAGATAAAGAGATTTCTTACCATCTTTGCACAAGATTGAGCAAAAGGTCGTTAAAAAATAATACTAATTACAATGAGATCACGAATAAAACGGATAGAACACCAGCACCAGCGGCGGCACGTCAGTCAAGGTCTAAACTCTACGATGACACTGGTCGGACGAAAAAGAATCGGATAAGAACTTACTTTAATAAACTCTCGCGTCAATAACTATAAAATACAAAATGCAATCTATTCAAACTATAAATTATCTTATAGAACTCTCGGTATAAAAAGAAAGTGTTTATGTCTTCGAGCTTAAAGCATGGGCAATAAAATACTGGTGTTCAAGTGCGCATGAGCGAAAGTTGAGCCAAGGGCACCTGCTGATGAGGGGAAAGGAGCGGCAACTTCAAATTAACGCAAAGCTGAAACACCTAAAATACATATATTATAGAACAATTATGAAGTTTTTCTCAAATGTATTAGGAAATTTAGATCAATGGAGGCAATCAAAACGCAAAAATGAAATGACATTTCTTCGTGTTCGTGTTATTGATATATAAAAAATCTTATTTCAAAATAATAAAAGCCTTTTTTCCGTGCTAACAACCATTTCTAGTAAACAAAAATAAATAATAATAAAAAAATAACATCATAGTGATAATATGATTAAACATTTAAAATAAATTCGTCCGGACTCATTTAATTAAAATCCGATATCAACGCAGACAAAATGCTAGCGGTTAAAGTTCAGAGTACCAAGATTGGCACAGAGAGGCGCGGGTTCGATCCCAGCTCTGTGCGCCAGTTTCTGGACAGAATCGGCAAGGAGGCCGGGCGGTTAAGCACAGCAGAATTGTAGCAGTGAGTTGTGAGTTCGAGACCGCAAAATGCTGTGAATGTTCTGCGATGTTAGGAATCGTCGACAGGCCTACGGCCTAATAAACGCTGAAACCGCTATTATTATTATTATGGCGAACTTTTCGACCATGCATATTTGCATTATTTTGTTTTGGCTTACAAGATAATTTATAAATTCACTTGGAACAGGAAAAATCAATTTTTGGAGCAAACAAACAATTTAAATAAAGTTTGTCTTTCATGTTATTATCTACAATCTTTAACCAATGTATAAATATAACAATATTTTGATAAATAATTATTTTAAAAAACGTAAATTGAAAGTTTGGTTTTAACTTAAAATAATCATAGAATTGCGGTCCACATAATAAATTTCCCCAAAGAAAATTGAAAATTAGAATTCACATATTTACTATACATGGAAAAATTTAAAAAAAATATCATTTGCTACTAGTGCATCTAAATGAAACGAGTCAGCCTATTATGTGTGGCTGTTTCAGAAAAAACAAAAATTACTGCAAAAAGTTTTTTTAATTTTCCGGTTTCTCCAATTTTGATCAATACATCAATCAGTAAGCCAAACATCACTAAATCAAAGGCATCTAAAATTATAAGCTGGACTGTCAATTATTTTAATTGAAATAATGTGCAAAATAGTCTTATACGGTATTGCAAGTTTCATTCGCTAACGAGTAAACCCGGTAACATAACGTACATCATATATTAGACGTTCTTATATTGATTGCAACTGAATTGTTAAACAAATGTAGTAAAGACATTTTACTGGCTGCTATAATAGTGATATTGGCTGCCCTATTTGCACGGCCTTGCACTAGCTACGTTATTAATTTTACTGCTTGCCGTATTATATGAATTACAATGTCTGCTGTATAAAAAACAATAAAACAACAACTGCTGTATTAACTACAGTAACACCGCATCTATTAAGTTATTATTATCAAGTGCATTACAATATCTGCTGCATTAAGTACACTGCAAAGGCTGCCGTAATAATTACATAATAATGGCTGCCGTATCAAGTTCATTACAATGGCTGTCGTATTAAGTACATTACAATGACTGCCGAATTAAGTACATTAGTATTAAGTATGATTGTTAAACACAGTATGTAAGTATTATCAAGTACATAATTAAGTAAGCTGTCATGTATCGCAACACCCACGCACCTTCTGCTTGGTGCCCGCAGCAGCAGACGACGTAGCGCTGGCTGGTGTGGATGACGATGCAGGTTTACTACCTCCTCCTGCCTTAGCAGGTGTTTTCGGAGGCATACTAAGTGCCAAGAATATTTTATTAGAACTCCTATAAACTGGAGTTTAGTGTGTTATTATTTAGTCTCTCACACTAGAACTCCTTTCTCAACGTGTTATTACTTGAAATATTCAAGTCTTTACTTCCTCAACTAACTTACTGCCTAACGGACACTGTTTTATTGGAAAAAGAAGAAACTCTTACAAGAAATTTTGCATACCATTGAATATATCCATTAGTTGCGAATATTTATGATGGGGCATATTTCCTGAGCTAAAGCTGCAGGCTACGTCTACTCTTCATGGCACGTAGCAGTAGCACAACTGCTACCTACACTCAGTGCAATAAAAAGTTACACGTCTAAATTGCTTTGTCGACGCACCTACTTTTCTCCACCAGGAAACGATAATTTTCATTTGGTGACTTGTATGAGCGTGGTTTCAGTACAAGTTCCGCCATGTGTAACTATTGTCTAATGAACTGTCCTCGAACTCGTTCAGACTGTCCGCGCACTCGTTCAGACAGTCCGCGCACTCGTTCAGACTGTCCGCCCCCTCGTTAAGACTGTCCGCGCACTCGTTAAGACTGTCATCGCCCTCGTTAAGACTTTCCGCGCACTCGTTCAGACTGTCCGCCCCCTCGTTAAGACTGTCCGCGCCATCGTTCAGACTGTCCGCGCCCTCGTTAAGACTATCCGCCCCCTCGTTAAGACTGTCCGCCCCCTCGTTAAGACTGTCCGCGCCATCGTTGAGACTGTCCGCCCCATCGTTAAGACTGTCCGCGCCCTCGTTAAGACTGTCCGCGCCATCGTTGAGACTATCCGCCCCCTCGTTAAGACTGTCCGCCCCCTCGTTAAGACTGTCCGCGCCATCGTTGAGACTGTCCGCCCCATCGTTAAGACTGTCCGCGCCCTCGTTAAGACTGTCCGCGCCATCGTTGAGACTGTCCGCCCCATCGTTCAGACTGTTCGCCCCCTCGTTAAGACTGTCCGCCCCCTCATTAAGACTGTTCGCGTCCTCGTTCAGACTGTCCGCGCACTCTTCAAGACTGTATTAGCAAGCACTATGCGACTTCGGCCGTTCTTCTCAACACCGAAAAAAGAGCGGCAGTTATTATGTCACTTTCACTCACTGTTTGACAGGCAGACACTGTTTTTACCAATGAAACCCGTCAACAACAAAAGTTTTCACGGAAACCGACATTTCTTGAACTATCCATTGCAGAAGCAGCATTTTCACACATTTAAAGTAATTTCAATGTTTTTTATTCAAACAAATTCAACTTTTTAATTCGATTCGGATTTAACTGTCCGTCGTCATCGCGTACAGATGTTATCCATCCCACCAATTAAGCATCAACGTTGATTGGGCGTTGTTATTGTTGTTGAACGTTGATTGAACGAAATAAACATATTTAATCAAAATTTTTCTTAACCAAGTCGCTCATGATTAAGGCAATTTCAACGAAATTAACTCGTAATCAACGTTGCTTAAATGAAATTAACACGTAATCAGCGTTTTTAAACTAATTCACTCCTAACGTTGTTTCAACGGAATCAAGTCGTAATCAACGTTTTTGAAACCAATTCACTCTTTATCAAAGTTATTTTAACGGAATCAAGTCGTAATCAACATTTTTGAAACCAAGTCACTCTTAATCAACGTTGTTTCAACGGAATCAAGTCATATACAACATTGTTCATTAACTAAGTTAGCACGTAATTTTAACCAATTCAGTCCTAATCAACGTTGTCTCAACGGAATTAAGTCGTAATCAACGTTGTTTCAATATCATTTGCCACGAGACAAGTCATACACTGCACGGTCGCGACGAAGTTACCGCAGCGAGTGCAGTGTTCACCTCTCCATAGGAGCTTCTTCATTATCGCTCTAAATACACATGGCGACCAGCCAAACATCAGGTGCGGTAAATTCTCTCTTACTAATTTTAGAGCAACACGGCTTCATCGATAAGGCTTCAGTTTCATAATCAATAAACTTCTGAAGTCTATAAATATCGGTGATGAGGATCTCTGAAGCAACTCTGATCTATTCGCAACTATAAAATAGAAGATTTTAATCTATGAAAATTAATAGCCGTCTTTAAAAAAATAAAAACAGTGACGCTGTCAGTTTATAATAAATTTGAATTGACTTCACGTATTTCTAAGCCAAATACCGATTTCTAAGCACATTTATATTACACGCCTTTCATCTAAGACGACTAAAAGGATTACCTACACATAATATACGTTGGAATAAAACATAACCATATCAAGACCTATGCACCTGCATGTGTCGTTGCACTTCACGGCTCTTATTCAGGCTCAATATGAGACCCTAAGGACAATAAAACCCTTAGCTTAAGCACAATAAAACTAGCAGTGAAAAAACAACGAAGCGAGAACGACACGTACGAGAGCCAAGCATTCGACTGACGTCACAGCGTCGAGGTATGCGTCGGTGGGTTTGATTAGACAAACTCATTAAGATGCTGGTGTTTCAGGGATAATAAGTTGACGAAAAGTTAATGACAGTCAAGTTGCTGGTGTTTCAGGGATAATAAGTTGACGAAAAATACAATAAGTTATATAATGACGCTCAAGTTTCTGGCAATTGAGACAGTAAGTAAAGGAAAAGTACAATAAGTTATAACTTATAAGGAAGCCCTAGAAGCTAGTCTCAATATGTAAAAAATACAGTATCTATATATGAGTAAAAACCTGTCTCGATGCAGTCAACAAGCACCTTTCTCGAGGAACACATCAAGCACATGTATCGATGCGCACATCAAGCACATGTCTCGATGCGCACATCAAGCACATGTCTTGATGCACACATCAAGCACATGTCTTGATGCACACATCAAGCACATGTCTCGATGCGCACATCAAGCACATGTCTCGATGCACCCATCAAGCACATGTCTCGATGCGCACATCAAGCACATGTCTCGATGCACCCATCAAGCACATATGGTCTCGATGCACACATCAAGCACATGTCTCGATGCATACATCAAGCACATGTCTCGATGCACCCATCAAGCACTTATGGTCTCGATGCACACATCAAGCACATGTCTCGATGCACATATGAGATGCGGTACTCATACGCTCAAGCATGCAAAGCGCGCAAGTGCGTGTCGACGTTCGAGTTGCGCGACGCAGCTGCTGCTTAAAGCTCCGCGCGTAACTGACAACTCATTAATGTTGCGTTGCCTTAGTCGTGCATAAAAAGTCACGCTTTGCAACAATGAAAATATCTACACATTTTTTAATAAACATTATAAAAATAATCGTCGTGGACTGAAAGAAAGACTGGCAAGAGCCCCGGCGTAAGTGAAGGTCAATGTTCTGTTTTTAGGACGTCGGGTCTCGCGCCGTGAAGTGAGTAACACAATACGGGCATTGGGTGGCACTCTTCAAGCGGGCCGTCGTGGCCACGATACACGGCATTGGGTGGCACCCCTCAAGCGGGGCGTCGTGGCCACGATACACGGCATTGGGTGGCGGTCCTCAAACGTGGCGTCGTGGCCACGATACACGGCATTGGGTGGCGCCCCTCAAGCGGGGCGTCGTGGCAACGATACACGGCATTCGGTGGCGCCCCTCAAGCGGGGCGTCGTGGCCACGATACACGGCATTCACAGGCGTCGTGGCCACGTCCGCATGTAGCGCGAGACTTGACGGCTCCTTACGGAAATTGTTCCCTACACAAAAATGTGAAAAATACGACTATACGTAGAGCAAGGGAATAAGGATGAATACTGAAATAAGGAAATATACTGATATAATTAAATGTATGGAAATACGTAGAAAAATAAGGAAACATACGGAAGTCATGAAAAAAACATCGCTAAGTGAAAATGATCTTTGATTTTACTTGTTTTTGTAGCAAAGATCACAGAGTTATAAGATGATCATATAGGTTCGGATGCTTTGAGAAAATGAAAAATAAATTCCGGAAAACATTAGGATCTACGTTAAGTTTGCGTATAGTGAAACGATGAATGCGAATTCGTGGCTAGACGAGAGTAATTTCTCGTCTTCAGAGAAATTTCAGAGAAGCTCATCGTGCATGTCGTTCTCATTGCAAGGGGACTTGCAGTAGGTAAGCAATTCGTGGCTCTATAACTGTTACCATATTAAACGGCGTCGTGGATCTCATTTCTTAATACCGCCGAGAAAAACTAGCATTACATAGAGTATATGAAGCTTTATACACGAGGAAAATACAAAGCGTGTTAAAGCGGGAACACATTAAAATTAGAGAATTGTTACGGGAGAAATTTACCCTCTGAAAAGCGAGAAAATTTAAGAAGAGGTGAACCTAAACATTTTACGAGATGAAATGTTAATTATTTCAAAACAGAAAATATCTATCATTTTACATCAGGAAAAAATGTTCATTTTACCGCAAAAAATAGGCATTATACAACAACAAAATATTGATAACTTTTCTGTAGGGAAATGTTAGGCTTTCTAGATATGGACCGTGTGACATAACTTTTGAATGCCTACATCGCACCTCAAAAATCTTTAAACCTTCGATACTTCACGCGGAAAATTTAACCTTTAGTTATAAACGAACTCCGATATGAAACTTCTCAATGAAGAAATAACCATGGGCGAGAATTGCCTATATAGAATTACTCAATGCTGAGCGCTGAGTCGAAGCTTCAATTGTGCGAGAATTGGTTCAAATGGACACTGCTTATTTAATTGCAGTCTTACCCTTCACTTTAGTCGGTTTGAAGTTTGAACATTCAGTTTAAATTTCAAAAGAAAAAGTAGTCCCACGAGAGCGCACAAATCGCAGCCGGCATACGAAAGCGCGGGATCACCGATCCAATAATTATGCGAATCCAATAATAATTCAATAATAATAAGGAGTCAATAATAAAAATATCAATCCAATAATAATAAGAAGAATCCAATAATAAAGCAAGAAAATATAATATAATTAAGCCAGTGATTATTTAATGCCCAACGGGCACCAGGCCAGACGTATATAATGAACAACATCGCGTGTTATCTCAAGCGACGCGCATACCCCGAGTATGGTTGCCTCTATATCAACAAATTTTATTATTATAATAATACCTATAATTATTTCAGTGAAAAGTGAACTCCCACGCGAGACGGGGTTAACTATAACATGTAGGTAGTT